ACTCGAGTCGAGAGCGTGCAGAGCCGCGCTGGCCCCCCCAGTTTCCCCGGACCCGAGGAAGAACCCAGACCGAGCAGATATCGGTATCATGTGAGCGAGCATGTTTTCCCTGCTTCTGCTTAAACGAGTAAGGCTCGCAATAACATTCCATCCCGTTTAGGGAATGGGTTTTGTTATTTCAATGAAGGTACTAGGTTAGTTATTATAACTACTCTCTGTACTATAGTTTGGTTAGTAGGCATACCAGGAACATGTCACGCTATTAATGCTGGTTATCAACTAAAAAATAGCTTGGGAAATCGGTCCGTATACTAATCAGTCTAGGAATGAAGCCTGGCAGTGAGGTGCCTCCCCTGCGTTCGTAAATTTACTTAACCTAGGTTCTTAAGAGATCGTTCGGCTCGGAATAAGAGAGGCCAAGTATTATTATAATCCGCAAGTCTCATGTCCACATAACCTGCACCAGTCTATAAGGGGTATCGTCTTCCCAGCCGTCGGTTAAGCGAGTGGATCTGGAGGAGGATACTATGTATTATTCCGGGGTACCGACCATCTTCCCCAGGAAAGTCGGATTGGAGGCTTGCTTTGCTTCTCCGCAACATGACATATTTGGGGACTTTCGTCACGTTTAGACATTTTCCAAATACATATGTGCTTGGTCCTCTTAGCCGTGTGTCGTGGAATCTATTTTCATCGTCACTAAGAAAGAATTTAAACCGGCGAAATAAAATGTATAAAATAATATTAATATTAACAATAGAAGAAAGTAAATCCTCAGCTCGGATTCGACTCCTTCTCTAAGTCTCTCGGATCCTATATTATGTAAGTCGAAGTAATATTCGCAGATCAATTCTTCGTGAGACCTCTCCGCTGTCGTGTTTCGATCGAATTAATATTAATATATTGCACCATTCAGAAATTAGTATTGAGCGACCGCGCTCGCGAATCATATCGTCTCGGCGCAGAGTCACACACAACATAGATACGTACTTGTAGTATGTAGTATATAGTATATAGCACCTATATAGTATATACGTGGATTACATACCTACTCCTATTCCTATACGACCGCAATATGCGCTTCGTAAGGACTTGCCTACTTGTACATGTGGCACAGTAGCTTTCCTGCCTGCCCGCGCTGCACGTAAGAGCGGTATAGAGTATCGCGACCTATTGGCATCGCCTGTCTCAGCCCTGTTCGGCAATCAACCCCTGGGTCGGGGGGACGTGATAGGGCCAGTCTATGTTCCCAAAATATCTTACACCCCTCCTTGCCCCGCCTATCGCCAGCGCTTATCGGGTATTCTACATTCTCGTCGCCATCACAGACAGATTGCAATGCAATTGGCACAGGATATACGAAGAGGCTAACGTTGCGCCGAACAACACCCGCGTATCGTGTCCCTTTTCTCGACATGTTGGGTCGAAAGGGATCAGCTAAGGATCGGTGCTGCTGGAATCAGCGCTATCGAGAAGCATGCGCTCTCTCCCGATTGGGAACCTGGCTGTGACGAATTTCCATTCCTGGGGACATGGCTTCTTGTGATCAGCCCCCCCCCCCTTTGGTCGTCCCGCCGTTGCAAGTCGTGGAAACTCCAGATTCCCCTTTCGGCCCTGGGGGTGTGCCACACGAGACAGGCCAGCACGATACGCCGGGGAGGTCTTGGGAAGCATTACCAGTGATGAGCTCGCAATGATCCATACGATGATTCAGGTACGGCAGTGTGATGATCACCCACCCCCTTCCCTTGCGCGACCAGCCCCAAATACCTAAGGTGTCTACTTACACATAACAGCCATCCATTCATTCATACATACACACATACATACATAGGTACCTACACACACACATGTCCGTGTAAGCCTAGGGGTACATCCGCGAGGAATTCGAAACGTTGCATATCTCAAAGGCAATCTCGTTATTCTCTAACTACCTACCTAACCTAACCTTCACATATGTAACTCCTCACCAACGGCTCCGCGAGCACGACACAAATGAGCACGGGGGATCAATATGTACTATGTAGGTAAGTTTGCCTTCCCAATTGCAATTGCAATTGCGCCGCGCGCGGGGGTATCCAAAGGCCCTGAGGCCCCCATGTCGGTCATGCGCAGCGAGAAACCGTGCCCCCATTGGCGCGCGGTCGCTGGGCTGCCGCGGATATCGACATGTTTAAAGGACGTTTATATGAGATATGTCCATATGTATGTACCTACACGTAAAGTACCTAATCTGCCATCTACCTCATATATCGACTTTGCTGCGGGGAATACGAATAAGCCACAAAGTCCTAGATCTAACAATTATTGACCCTTTTTATTATTTTTATTTTTTTCTGCAGCGGAGCCGTTTATCTATCTTGGATCTATCTATCTATCCATCTTACGTTGGGGGGTTATATCATTTTATTTTATTCCTTTTCTTTTCTTTTCTGTTTCGCCCCCCGTACCCTCGCTTCGGTGCGGGCCCTACCCTATCGTCTTGCTCGCATTAGGCGTCTTACGTTAGACGGCCAGCAAAAAACCGCACCTTGTGACCTGTCTTCCCGCCCGGAATGTCAGCGGCCTGACCCGCGAATGCAAAGTGCCAGCTGGCAGTTGTGAGAACTGACGACGATGGTGAGAAAGCAAGCACGGGGAAGGTAATTACATACTACATCAGGTACCTTAACATATGGAATTATACCTATGCGCAAAGTGTGGAATTTTCAAGGGATCGTGAACGTGAAAGCAAAAAAAACGACCCCCACGTCGAGGGAAATCAAAAGGACCTGCTACTAACCTTCCTACCCAAGCCAAGGTGTACTTGCGAATGTCCGAATGGGCAGCGAGCAAGCAAATAACGAACGAACTCCGGGTATTTCTCCTTCGGGCCAAGCTAATACGCGCCTTCTACATAGGAATGCAAAAGTGTGACGTTGAGCAAGGCTATCGGGGTTTAGGCATTCTCTCTCCCCTTTACTCGCAAGGTGATGATGACGATGTTGTTTTCCGATTCATAACATGGCTATTATTATGGCCGATAAGGCGTTGTTCACGTTACCAAATGCGCGCGCGAAGTATTTCGATAGATAATACAATAGTAGATAATACGATAATTGGATAATGATTACCATACCATATTTTATCGTTTATTATTATTATTATTATTATTTATTTATTTATTTATTTATTTATTTATTTATTTATTTATTTATTCCTGAATTGTTTTATTCTATTAATATATACTTTTATGATATCTTACTTGCTTGATCCAATTACCTCCCAGACGAAAAAGTATCAAAACTCAACTAGCAAGTATTAATAGTCATGCACCCCTAAATCTCGATCGGCGCCGTTCAGTTCGAACGGCCCGGTGTCTCATGATAGACGGACGCGCGAAAGGAATCTGGCGTCAGCCCCGATGACGAGAGGTATACCCGATTGCAGAAATCGCAGCGGTGAATCAGAATGTCACCAGAACGATGAAATACGTAGTCTCAGACCCGGAAACGGCAAGGCTAGCTACCTACTTATGCCGTTCCCCAGATTCCATATCAACCTACCTAAAGTATAGTTCCTAACAAATGTAAATCCTCGAGATGCTCCTCGAGATCGAACCTGTCTTGGGTATGAACAACTAATGAGACCCGGTCCGAATTAAGCAATGCTCATCGAGATTACGTCCCAGATCGGGGGGGCAGACGGAGACGGGACGGCCTTATGTAGGTAGGTATCTTTACTCGATGCGAGATAAACTCTTTGTCCAAAGTTTGGTATCGAGAGAATTAGGTCATTGCGTCAGCAGGTCACCTGGGTGGACAACAATATAGGTAGTTACGAATGGCGATTAGCCGTCGATCGAGTGAAATTCCATGATATTTAACATTGATGGCCGTTTATGATGTCATTGCCCGCAACTCTTAATGATAACTGATAGGTACGGTACGGTGCGGTACGGTGCGGTGCGGTGCGGTGCGGTGCGGTGCGGTACCTAGGTGAAAGCGGTTGTTAGGTACTCCGTAGCCGATAACGAAATAAGGTCCCGCCAAGCATGGCTATCTTAGAATCCGATATCGATGTTAGGTCCTGCGCCGCTGGTGAATTCGAGATGGCCAGTTGTTCGCCCAATCCCCTAATCCCCTAGCCCTTAGACAGGATTGGTTGATATGGCGTATACAGCTTCTCCGGCTGGCTCCGGAGTTTTTGCTTACCTATATTACCTATATCGATTTCGACCAAGTACCTACCTATAGTACATCATGTATGTCCTACATGCTATTGCGTGCATGATAGTAAATTGTAACCCGCCAGTATTATTATCATCAAACCCGCCGGGTTCTCGACGGCGGGATGCAACCCGTGCTCTCGCTGTACATGATACAGTAACGAACAACGAACAGCTGACTTGGATCTTGATCCTTTAGGTACAGGATTAGATATCCTTCCTCGATAGGAGCAAGTCATTCATCGAGGATGCCACGTGGATTGCCGAAAGGAAATCTTCTATGTACAGGGGAAATTATTCGCAAGGTGATAATAATAACAGCAATAATAATAATTCGTTTTGAATCATTTATTTTGATTTCAAGTCTAGGTAATATCTTTTCCTTATAGCATCTCCCTAGAAAAGGCAGTCATGTTCCGCTAATTTGCGCCAGAGACTTACATGAGGGCATTCCGTTAACTTGGGAGAGTGCCTTTCCGTGGGGGTGTAACAAACATCCCGTGGAACTGGAGCAGCTCTTCACATGTGCGGGTTTGCATAACTGCATATCGTCCTCTCGGCAGCTGCAGTAGAAAGACAGAAAAAAAAAAAAGGGACGGGGTCATATGCGGTGATACATAAGAACCAGACAAGGTCGGTATGTGAAGCTTATTACCTACATACATAGGCACATAGCACTAATGCCGTGCGAGCTTCTCTTTCTCCTGCGCGTCATCACGTCGCAAGTGAGCATGGGAGAGAAGAGTCGCTAAGACCCGTCGTACGAGGCAAGTAATTCCCCATACTTCTCCGGATCCCGCTTAGATCATCCAGCCTCGGGGATCACCACCTCTCCGCAAAACACGATTTTTCCATGTGTTACGGCGCAGCGAGATGAGTTAGGAATTATTGTGCGAACGAGACCTGCGTGTCCCATGGACCATGGACCGTGGACCATGGGCCATAAACCCGTATGTGTGTGGTGTTGCAGCGGAGAGCTCTTTTTTTCTTCTTCTTTTTTTTTTGTCCTCGGCACGGCATGGGGCATGGCAGCGATTGGTCCTTTCGCTCCAGGAGACGGGTGACATGAATATTGTTCAGCAATTATTACGTACGCGAATTATCTGCAAACAACCGAGGATGCCCTCAGATGAACGCTGGGCCCCTTTTTCTCGTGTGCTTCGTGCTTACCTATTCGTCATGATTGCTGCCAAACAGGCGAGTTAATTTTATTGCGAGGTTGTCTTCTATAAACTCTTGTAGCTCGGCATACGTTCTCACATAATACGAAAAGGCCTCTCGCGACGTGTTCTTGTTTCGTAGTGTTCCATCCGGACCCCTTTCCCTCATTCCGTCCAGGGACCACGAGAACCGCAATTAGAATCTCGCAGGTTATAATTATCTCGCAGAGGTGTGTCGTGACGAGAGTGGATATGTTAGTCGAGATGTTAGTGTCGTCGGTGCCGGGTGTAGCATTCTCGTCCGCATCGTTGGGTCATTTTACAGTGTTCTAAGCATCGTGGGCATCTGCCTCACTCCTGACAAGGGACCAGAAACTATGAGTGTAGTATCTACCTCTCCCAAAGAACTCGGCTTGACTTACTGTGTGTACAATCCTAAAGACGTAGGTCTGGGACTTAGCCAACGCATCGTAAGACTCTCCCCGGTCTTCAGCGAAAGTCTTTAAACCACATCTACCCCCGTTCATCCAGGTAACTCCAACGTAACACGTAGTTGGAGTTGGATCATCTTTGTAATACAGATACTCACGGTGACCAATGCCACGATGAGGTGAAGCGAAGTGTGGTGGTTACACGAGCCACGGTCTAATTTTATATCTGGAAAACCCTCATCGTTCTAGGTAACCGGCGTGGGATTAGGTGTCGTCTGTTTGAAATTTCAGGATCATGGACCACGAGTCTGGGATCATCACATTACCACGTAAGGCAGAACGCGGAGGATATCGGCAGGTAGTGTAGTTGGTGAAGAATCCGAGCAAAACAAATTTAGCTCTGGGTCCCAAAAGTACGCGGGTGTGGCGGCTGGTCTGTCAATTAGTCTGTTAATAGTCTATAATTCACACATAAGTGAGATTTCGCCAACGTTTCTTGCAGTTTTATCTCGCTAGGCATCTTACGAAGAATTTTGTGAGGGTGCCATCCCCGTGGGAATTCCGACGTTCAGCTCAGCCTTCACCCCACCCACCCCCCCCCAGAGAAAGGCTTCGCCCATTCGCGGGGTCATACGGATGCTGACGGCCAAGGCCAATTGCTGTGCTGACGAATCTGCCTCACGTTGACTTGGTAATGGAAAATGGAATAGATAGGGGTGAATTTCCATCTGGCTACTGGACATGGCCGGCGCCCGTCAGACTTGCTTCGTCAACACGACATATAGAGGGTAATATGAGGGATCAGTCTATCTGACGATGTTAGAAGAAGTCTATTCGACCCTGCTGACAGCATGCGGCACGGGTGTCTAGTGTTTTTGCTATGTACTCGGGCCGTCCCTTATCATTTTAATTCGAATAGTCAGATCCAACGATCCAACTGCATAGGTGGCAACACCATATTCTCAGTTATTCCCAGTTGGTTTCAAGGGCCATCGCACCAAATGGTCAGCCGCGCATTTCTAATAGTTGACTCCTCATCCTGCTCCTTAATCTAGAGAAAACGAATGTATTAGGTAGGTGAGGAACGAGAAGAAGACGACGTATTGGCCCCCACGGGCGTAGTCAGACCCGGGCTCGGTCAGCAAGTAGGTAGGTAGAAGTAAGAAGCGTTTTTATTCAACTATTCAACTATTCGATTATTCTTTAAGCCCGCCATTGCCGTTGTGCATCATTTAAGGTGGGAAGCACGGCGCCAGCAAATACAGGGGTTGTGGTTGGTCTATGCTACCTACCAACGTACTTCTTCGAGATGACTTGCGAAACATGACCAATCGTGTAATGTAGTCAGCGCCATAGATCGTGGCTCTCCCGCAAATAGCGTATAAGTTAATTGAAATTCGGTACGCTCCAATTCTCTATCTGCTCAACTCTTAATTCCAAGACGGGTTGTACATAGACTATCGTCTGCACTTGCTCATATCCTGACGCACCCCGAGGCACATGCACACCGCCGTGTTCAGAAGTCGCCGACCAGCAATAGTCCGAGTTGATTTCTCCGTTGAACTGGGTAGGTATTTGGGTACCTAGGTAAAAGGATTCAAGCCGCATTGTTGCATACAAGGAGAAACGGCCAGTTACGTTTTATCACATGTAAATGATCCTCGGACCAGCGGACATTATTCAAAGGCCGGAGCAAATATTCAAATAGCAGGTCTGAGGAATAGTAAGTAACTCCTCCGTGGGGAAGCTAGGGTATCTGCAATACTAGTATCCGATATAGTTCTCAACCCAGGTCCTGGTCAGCCACGAGTAATCTCGACTTCTAGAAACGAAGAACAAAGTCCTAGTATCACATTCTCCTAAACAAAACCTATTAGCCCCAGGCACAATGTCTCATGTGACTTGTCACGGCGTGCTATCGCGATCATATATGTGAGTAGCTGAGACCTGGGGTCACGCGATGCAGAAACTCGTGCAAATATACCATTTATAGCAGTGCGCCCGAAATTGATCGATCCTCTTGTGCGCTGCAGTGAAACTCAGGCAGGGTTGTCACTTAAACAGAACAGGAACGTATGTGCAATCCCATATAGTTACGCCTCTTACGATCGTCAGTAAGAAAGAGTCTCGGGCAGAACTCCAGCTTTGAGTTAGGATAAGCGTGGTCTTCACCGGTCACTGAGTGTGTACCTACCATCATCCTCCGCCAAGCGAATATAATTAGTAAACTGCACAACGTCTACCAACAGCAGTTTTGAAGAACCGGTTACGCGGGATCTCTATCACTCGGCACCGCGACGTAGGACGAGTCACGTTACAACAGCAATTTAGAAATGTGTCTTATTCCAAGTGTCTTGTTCTAGTATAGTAGTCGAAATGCGGTAAGGATAGGTTAGGTATAGGTGAGGAGACTAGGATGAGGATGTCTCTAAATCCAGGTCTTTGAACCAAGCTCTAGTCAGATCCGTCTCACCATTCAGCCATCAACGATGACCCTGGACACCGAGAAATGAAGAATATGAACGGCGTAGGAAAATAATTATTTAATTCCTCGAAAAAGAAAAAAATTAAAAAAGAAAAAGAAAAAGAAAACCGAATATAATGACGATGAGGCATGTCGTAGCATAGGTGGGTTGGCGTACCACGGGGGCAGATCTGGGGGCCGTCATACCGAACAAGTTTTTTTAACTTCATGCACCCCAGAAATCTTTTGGAGTCCCTACGCACGTATTGCACATACACGTCGCCTGTAGGCTGTAGTCTATTTTATGGAGATATAATTAATATATATTGATGAAACTCCTAATCTCCCCAGGTGGCGACCTAAGGGGGGGGATGATCGCCAACCCCTTGGCGTTGCCTTGGATCTATGTATGTAGGCTAGGTTGTTAGGTTTCTTCGTGGTTGTAACTCGCCGGCTAACGGGTTCGCGATGGATACATTGCCGCAGCCGGAAAAAGCCATCGTGGCGGAATTAGATAGCTGCGTAGCGGCATGCCCCCTACATAATTCCCCGTAAGTTCCGTCCCAAAGATCCCGGGAGATCGGTTCCAGGGTTCTGCAGAGGCGGGCGGGCTGCCGCCCCCTGCTCCGTACGAGTCCCGACGGGCTCTCAGGGCCTTGGGTAAACTCGCCGGTTAAATGGAGTCGGCACGCCTCGACTGCGCGCCATTTAGCCGGCGAGGGAGGACACGAGGGATTCATAAGGGCATAGTCTCGCTGCGGGGGCCGCTATCTTTTTTTCTTCTTTGAAATTCTTTTCTCCCCTTTCTCCAATGCTTGGCGTACGGATCGCTTGCCGATGCGGAGGGTTGCTTTCCCCCATGGTCTCCAGGAACAAAGCACGGCACTCACGAGGCATCATCGTGTACGACATTCTATGGCTAGCTGGCTGTCAAAAATACCCCCGTAGCTGCTACCGCTGCATTGGTTTTTGGGTCAAAAGGTCATCGTAGTTAGACTGATGGATGGACAGCTAGATGGTCTAGCCAGGGCCCATTTCTTCCTCCTTGAATAGGCAACTTTCCGTTGGCGACGTTATTTTTACTTGGCACTACTTATTGGATTGTGATCAGACCGTGCCGCAGGCTTGCACTATTGCGACAGCCGTAAGCTCGCTCATGTGTGCTTGAGACGCGTAAGTTGAGTCTTAGGTAAACCCGGCTCTTCTTCTACGTACGGTACTCGTAGGGCCTGTCTTGAACTGGCCAACGGCGCAACGGCGCAACTGACACACCACGAGTGATGATCGGATAATGTAATCGGCGGTGAACAGTCTGTAGTCGTGCGACACATATGTTATATGATGGAGTGTACTAAGAGTAACCAAAACCCCTATATTAGTCTTGGCGATGCACAAGATTGCTCCCCCGGGGAGGCTAGGCCTATCTTCCGTTCGCGGGCTCCGTTATGCTTGGTCTGATGATCCTTCCCCGCGTCCTCTCCAGAGCCTCGCCATACGACGTGGAGATTAACGGTACGAGATCTGGAGAGGCGGCCAGGCGGCCAGGCGGTTGTTAGGTAAGGTAGGGTAAGACCCGAAATAAGTCAGCACACCCTTTTCGCGGGAATGGGACAATGTTTCAGAGGCTCGGTGCCACCCCCCAAGGACGTAGGATGCTGTCACGCGTTCGATTTGAGACAATTTTTGACAACTCAGCCTTGACAACTGTCTTCACACCCTCAGTAGATTTGTCGGGACAACGGTCTTCTTCAGCCTTCCCATCATGTCTTGGAGAGGAGGATCTGGCCCTGACAAGCCCTAACAAGCCCTGACAAAGCCCTGGCCGGCACCTGAGCTCTTCGTGTAACCGCTGATTCGGGACATAAGTTGTAAGGTTACAATAGCCGCGTCGCCACTCGTGTTCTCGTAAGTATTAACTAAGCGCAAGGCTCGCACAACGCTTTTCGGTCTGTAAGGTAGAAGACATTCAGCTTCCACCAACACCGCCAAAATGGCAATAATTTAGGGCGCAGCTCGATTCAATGCCTGCTCCGTAGTAGGCTTTCCGAAGGTGTAAGTACAATGTGCGTTTCTAGTTCCAGGTCTTGCTCATTGTCTACCGAGCATAGTGCCGTTCAGCTTTCCTGTAATTTCAATCAGCACATCTCTAGATAATATAGATAACTACTGCAACGTTGTAGATGAATAATATTACACGGGAACATCAACGTAGCTTGCATCGGAGATGATTGTCTGATATAGATGTCAGGAAGGAATTGCCTACCCCTGATCCTAAATGAGGCCCCGGTAGCCTACGGAGCTCGAATGGGATATTCACCTGGATGCACTTCTTGAGAGAAGTCTACGAAATTGGAAAAGAGGGTTCGATGGATTTTGATAGCGGTTAGACTCCGTGTGGGAAATAAGGCTCATGCTTGAGTATTGTTTCTCTAGTCCTTGGTACTCGTAGTCGCCACTAGTGTGTTATCCCAATGTCCTGATATATCCAAGGAATATTTTATACGTTCCTTGGTTCTTAACTTGGACCTCCTTCGAAATGGCATCCTGCGCTACGAACAGTGTCCTTACCATCGTCATGGGGACTACCCATCTCGGGCTATTGCAGTGGAAGAGGACTTTGCTGAGGTGTCGTTAGCAACCTGGGTTAGAATATCGGTATTAGTACTAGGAAATTAGATTTCGTATCCTTAGGGGTATTAGCATAGTATCAAGACCTTATAACAAAGGAGCTTTAGACTATAGAAACTATTCGTTTCATCTAGAAGCGCATTAAAGCTACTATCAAGTTTCGGGGGGATTGTATTGAGATGTTTCTGACGTACGGTAGGTCACTGCTCCGGACATCTTGTCCTGCCTCTAACTATAATGGCTTATTTAAGCCGGCATAAGCGTAGCGGCCTTGCTGCAATATATGATTGATTCATTATAAGGTGATTGACCTCTCCTTTTGACTGTGCAGTATGCTTCCGAGTTGGCATCTGAAGTTGTCGTAAGAAAGAACTCCTATAAATTAAAAGAATAGTGATTGACAAAGGGTATTAGCCCCTGCACTGCCTCATTCATTACCTGTTAAGCCCATTCTTTATTATAGCCCAGCAATGCTGAAGCGACATGGATTTAAATGGAATACCAGAGAAAAAAGGACGTCGATTGAAGCTGCACGAAGGAGTAGACATTCATCGCTACCCCTGATGCTGAAATCACGGTAAATCGCAAGCGGGGGTTCTTAGTGGTTATCAAGAGGACATTGCAGCCATTCTCAGAATGATCAGGAATAAAGGGGAGAGTAGTGATAATAAAATAGAGTCATAAGGGTGTAAGGGTGAATCATCTTGGGTTTCTACGATGTGGTTGAATTTGGCCTCATAGTTGGGTATAAAGGGGTATCGATTCAATCAGGGACTTTCGTTACTGGAAGTTTGAAGCGGCCATTACACTTAGCTCATAACCTTAACTATAACTAAACTTCCTAACTAAAAGTTCTCGCTAGATAATATAGTTGAAAACTTATCTGACTTTGCTTAAGAGGGAATTGTACCTGGCATCTCGTAGGGACCTAGGACAAGTCAATTCAATGATACTGACCCAGACCTAGGAGTTCTCAAATTTGCTATAATTTTAACTAAACCCACGTCCTCCTCATTAGGTCATTATGGAATAAGAAACAAATACCATATATTATTATCTATGCTACTGCCAGGAAAGCAAAAGCATTCAAATGAAAACTCGTGGGTACCTAAACCCACGTCATTCTCTTAGGACTTGCTGATGAGGATCAGTAAAGTGGTCACGGGAGGAAGGAGACTACTCTGTTAGCGTCATGGAATAGTGTCATATGATAAACACCTCATGCATTTTTAGTTAACATACAGCTGTCTTTGCGTAAGAACTTAGTAGGCAGACTATCCGTCATCAAGGCAATGAACAGCCTATTAAGTCCAGGCTCGGTGCTTAGCGTCTATGTGGATAAGAACCTTATAACCTTAAGGTGTTTAAGAAACTTGATGAAATAACTAATCTAAGCTAACTATGGAGAAGCACATGAGCCGTCGACGAGTAAATGGTTGCCCCGATGTAGTATAAGTATCCTCTGATCAGCACCACCATAATGTATCATCGCATTCGTAGACATCATCATAACCAAGAATGTACCCAAGAATGTACCCAATGATCGCCCTTTGCCTAGAAAAATAGAATATTGCATAGCCTCATACCCATTCATGTTAAACCCAAACCTGCACTCGCTCTAAATATACCCTCATTAAAGCGCACAAGACCTTTCCCCAGATCCCCAATGCCACTAATCCTAAGCCCCGCCGATCTGACGAGCCTCTTCCTCAGCTTCCTTATCAATCTCGTCAACCTCGTCCTTACTAAAGGCCTCGCTGAACTTGACCCAAGGACCATGCACCAAGCCCGTGCCCATACCGACTAAGATGCCTATGCCGGTGGTGGGAATCGCTACTAAACCGCTGACCAAGGACCCGACAGTTATGCCGAGTCCTCCGGCAATCCCGGCCCCTATACCGGCGCCAGTCGCGCCACCCTGTAACCAGCCAGACTCAAGACACTTGGCTGTCTTCAGCAGCTTGGCAGCTTTCATGTCGAGCTCCCGAGCGCGGAACTTTAGATCCTCGGCGACGTCGGGATCTTCTGCTTCGTCAGCCTGCTTGTGGAGTTGTACGGACTCCTCTTGGAGCTTCTTGGATTCTTCGATGCGCGAGGTGATTTCTTCTATCAGCTTCTCCTTGGTTGTCGGTTTTTCCTTCTGCCCCTCTCTGCTTTCTTCTTTGCTGCCGTCCGCCATTGCTAACCTGGAAGCTGGAAGATTGGCGTGCCGTAACGCTGCAAGAGGAGTCCTTTTACAAACGAACTGCAAATGTGTCAATGAAAGCGTGCAAGTGTTGTAAGTTGTCGTAAAGCATCAGCCTCATCCGTTTAGGGTAGGTTCCTCTTTTGGAAGTAGGTAGTTGTTTGGTTGTGGCTTGACAATTAAGGCTCCATCTCCACTTGAAAACATCCACTTGAAGACATTGTCTCGCGGCATGACGTCGTTTCGCAAGTCTGATACATAGTGTACAGGTAATATATGCATTGTTACTTAGTAATAATACACTAGTTTTCTCTAAAACCGCACTATGTTGCACAATTTATTGAGCTTTGGGCGGCATGTTTGTTTCGATAGATCATAGCGTACCTAAGATAAGAAAATGCATGTGATTGAATGATGTCAGCCCCTTAAACAGTCTGTTACCGGGAAAGGAGTAAGAAAAACAAACATGACGAAATGCTTAGGTAGGCTTGTGACCTTTAGGCGGGGAATATTGCAATTACATAAAATCCATAACAATCAATTGATGCCCGTGGACTTCACAGGAAGAAACTCCACCAATCATAAAATGCCCTTCGAAACAGCATAATTGCAAGGATGATAAACATGAGGTACATCATGTACGCATTGACAGATGGATACATAGCAGATAGCATTGATAGCATTGATAACAGGGCTTATCCGGCTTGCCTAATTTCGATCACTTGATAACCTCGGGACTATTATTAGTTGGGCCTCAAACCAATCACCGTGTCAGCGGGTCCATCATCTTAATTGAATTTTATTATAATTGAATTTATTAGAGGTCCCTGGATTTCCGACTTGGGAAGTACAGATCCCGTGATCGTTTCGAGCTCCAGATCTTCCTGAACCGCTGAAAGATTCTTGGGACGCTCCGAACCAGAGTTCGCATATTGTTGTTAGGTACCTACCTAGGTAACCTAGGTATGTACATAGAAATGATGAGTGTGGAGAAGTATTTCATGGACCCCTGGTTCGCGTTTCCACTTCCTCCATCCCATGCGATTCTTTTTTATTTTATCTGTCATTTTATATTTTATTAATATTTTTGGCCTTTTCTCACGATAATATCAAACACCCTCGCGACGGTATTACCCCATTTAATTATTGTTGGTCGGAATGGCCGATGACATGTCACACGATCATCACTCTCTAAAGGATAGTAAACAAGCAATGGTCATTAAGGGGTGTTATAACATTTCTTTTACATTTGCAGTATTGCAGAGAATGAATGAATGACACTTTAGGTACCTAAAGAGCGAGAATTCCATCTTATCCCCGATGGCCAACAAGTTAGATAATCAACGAAGACTTACATACTGATGTGGTTGACTTGAAGAGAAGATCTGGGGAATGTTCCCGCTGTCAGTCATGGGACTGGAACTGGAACTGGAACTGGAACTAGGTCTAGGACTGAGACTGGGTATCCTAGTCGTGATGATGATGAGATACATAGTGATGTACACGTAGTAGGTCCCAGCAACGGAAGTAAATATTCGAAATAAAATAATGAAATAATAAATAAAATATTTATTTTATTTCATTTATTCGAACTATCGTACGGATTATACCATACATACATAGTCCCCCGTCTCACGCACGGCCTCTTTGTATATAGCAATCCTAACCCATACGTATCTGTGCTTGGGACGATTGGAATACCACATCCTGTTTTGTTCGAGGGGTGATTAGCATGAAATGACACCAGCGGGCTCTCAGACGTTCTAGCGTTCCCGCGGGACGGGTCAGCATCCGGCGAACAGGGCATCGTCGACTTAGTCAACTTAGTCGACCTTAGTCTAACCCCCGGCCAATCTCTTGACTCGCGCGCGTTTCCCAATTCGAACGCGTTGCCGTCGCCATGACTTTTAGCTACTACCAGAGCGAGCGCCGCCTAACTTAGCCGAACAGAACTACCGGGCTCTATCACTCCATATAGCCTAGTCCTTCTAGAAGGAAGTTCGAAGCGTTCGGCCAAGGATACCAGCTGGAAGGAATTTCACCGACAGCCCTGGCTGTTAGGTGTTTCGCGCGAAGCGGATCGCCTGACCTAATATTCATATGTATATGTACCCCTGAAACTTCGTCATAGCGATTGTTATGGATCTCCCATTAATGACTTGAAGACGCCATTCCCAAAGGAGATTCACTTGCATGAGGACATCGCGTCTTGAAGTTTGTAGGTTAGCATTAACTACTGCAATTGATATCGCCGCTGTCAAAGTCATATTATAAAACCTTGCAATCACGGGGAAGCCCCGGGATATGAAATACCAGCCTTGCAGCTCGTGAGCCGTTGACTAGGTAGCACATACGTACTAACCTACATAGTACGTAGCAATCGCTTCGCATAATCTGGAATCTAATAGGCTCTTTAATCGACCTCTCCGGTAGTTCTCCACCACGATATCTCCATCGGACATAAGACACTTTCAGCTTCAGTCGGTGTTTCTGGACACTTTAATTTACCAACTCTGATGTTTCTGATCTGTTGGTATGGAGACGACCCCGGAGAAAGCTAGAGTTGCGGATCGCTTGAAGCCCGTCGCCAAGTAAGCTGAACAATATGAAGGCATATCGACCCGAGGCCATGGCTTCGGTGGATTTTACAACCACTTTACAGCGACATGGGTGGATACGATGAGCTCCGATTCTACGATCTCATGATGATGAATGGAGAAGTTGGTCTTTGAACCACGACTCCGAGTGATCGGGTCAGTTTGTGGATTGATTGTTTCGATCTCGTGGTAACTATTCACCCACAAGTACTACATATAGAGAAGGATGATAGCTAATAGCCTTTGCTAATGGGATGAGATAAGGGAGCTTGTTTCCACGTGGACATGAAGTTCCCCCCCCCCCCCACTGAGGTACATTGGCGAAATGCGAGGCTCTATTCCTTCAACCAGATACTTGAACACTGAGGAACTATATTTCCATCTTGAGATAAATTCAAATAAATAAATAAAATGATGGGATAATATTTAATTGAGGAGTGCTTACTGCCGCAATGCGGTTGATCCCTCCCGCACGTTAAAGGTAAGCGTTATACATACACAGGCCCTGCTTCTCCTCCTTCTGTAAGGTCACCACCCTCTTAGCAGAAACACCATAAATAGGAACTTGCATAAGGATGTGCCCAAGCCTAAACTGTACCCATTAGTTATAACAAGCTAAGTTATAAGTAAACTATGCCTTAATAGTTGTTCGGTAAAACAATAGTCTACCTATACCTAAATATACGACTAATAATAGCCGGTCAGTGGTTTGAAAACGTGCATGTGCCTACGTGTGGGGAGCCATATCAGAGACATCAAGGTGCTTGACCGCAGTCGAATGGGATTCTGTTAGTAATGAATCCTTCCGCCGCAAAGGAATGAAACGCACCTATTACAATCGTATGCGAATGGCTCATGCAGGGACCTCGAGATAGGATAACTCCGATGGCACCAACCCATGTGGCATTGTGCCATATCGTGAGTTTGCTATTGCTCGAACTTACATAATAATATCCGATGACCACCAGACCATACTGACATTTACCCCTGGCCTAACACTTAATAGCCAGATGTCTCTCGGTGAGCGGCGTGAGTGGCTCAAACCTACGACTTATTGCCGAAAGGGGAAGGTCAGTAAGTAAGTGGGTGACCCCCAAACAACCCCTTCCAGCCCTTACACGATGTAGAAAGCCACCTACTTCGTGCAGCTACCTAGGTATGTATGTAAGTCTTCTGGAAATGGAGAAGCTCCCGTCAGAAGTTTAAACACGAGCACGCCAATGAAAGCACCTCACCTTTCCGTCGCGGCCTGGCGGGATGGGCGGACGGGAAACCGTTTCTAACATCCCGCGTAGGATTCGATATCTTAGTCTCGTAATTGACATAGTTATTATATATACTATGTAATGGCATGGTTTGGCCGTGTTGGTCCCTACATTCATACATGCATGCATCCATACATATATATATCCTGCGTTAAGTAAAATACAAATACGAAAGGAGTATGTAGCTCATCCCACAACTGCAGTTCAGTTCAGCATGCCTATGTAGCATCCCGTCAATCATCAACCAACTACCTACCACGAACAACTGCCGTAGCTGGTGGCGGCCGGCGCGTGCGGCGCATGCTTTTCATAACAGGGACTAGGGAACCATTCACATTCACCATTGCTACACCGCAAGCCCCAATCTGCAGCCGAGCTGATTCTGGCGCGCGCTGATTGGTTTCCGCCGCGACGATTAGACCTGTCAAAACTGTACTGCCCCGGATCTACACCGGTATGTATTCTCATGTACATAGGTAGGTAGGTATGTATGTACAGTGAGCCGCCAGCGCGGGACGCTTATTAACTGCGGCTTTTGCGAAACGCGGCTCGAATAGTTGGGTCGCCTTGTCCGTAGCCCTGCATGCTCTGCCGCGACACGTATACGAAGTGTGTGTATACTTTTGTTGGTGCGAGGCTGGATTGGATGGATGGACGAGCTGCTTTGGCCTTCAGTTCAACTTACCGCCTCGTGTCGGTGTCGTCAACCCTGTCGGCGTCGCACGTAGATTTTTGACCGGTCATCACCCGCCCGAACCATGTCGCTGTGTGTGTGTGTGTGTGTGTGTGTGTCTGTCCATCTGTATGTATTCTCTACACTGGGTTCATACATAGCATGATGCCCAACGCGTCGAAAGACCCAACATCAATCAAATCTGATCCAAGACCATGGGCCGTGATGAGAACCCTTCTTAATTTCCAAACAATCGTGATATTCATGGGACGGTTAAGTATGTATTATCACACGCACGCGACATTATGTAGAGTAGTGGAGTTATCTCACCTCCCAAGCTACCAAATCCATGACGACGGGTTCGATTACACCGTAGATAGACCGATACAGTTTTGATGGAGGATCGCGCCAGCGCCATGCTGCCGGGCTCGACATGTTGTGTACATACTTGCAGCGGCGAGGGCGGGTCCTGTCACTCTCTGTACATACCGGTAAGGTAAGAAGCTAGAATTAATCTCCCTTACCCCGAATAGGAGCAGCGCAGTGGTAGGGGGTCGGGTACAGAAGAGCCCTTGTCGGAGCCATCTGGGTTTACTGGCTGGGGGTGTTCCAAAACGGAAGAGCGCTCGGCAAACTTTTTACTCAAGACGGTATTGGCGTGTGATAAATTCCGAATAGACCATGTTATGTACTCAATTGATATCGCGCTATAGACATGGGATAGAAAACCCAGGGGAGCGCTGGGAGCGATTTGCGGCTCCGCAGCAATGTTACCTTGAGTTCCAGGCGGAAGGGAGGCCGGTGCATCCCGGGGAGCCTTGGAGCCAGGGGGGACGACCCGCTTGGGTAGAATTTAATATATCTATTCTCTATGTACGTACTATTGAACGCCTAAGGCATGAGGAAGTTCGTCCCAGGGCTATGGTTTCGGAAAACAGTTCGCATACTATGTATGTAGAGAAGCGAAAATGTGACATGTCGTCGCTTCAGGGATAGCAGCAGATTAGTTTGGGGTGCGTTCAGGATTTCTCGTCGTACGTGCGGCCGGAGCGGTAATGAAAGTAGTCAAGGATTAACGAGAATAAAATAAAATAAAACAAAACATGATAAAATAAAAATATTAAAAATATTATTTTATTCCTAGGAAAAGAAAAAGAAAATACTTAACCGAGACTGCCGCGTGTATTACCGACGACGCGGTAACCTCCTTAATAGGCGACATATAAGGTTATTTGATGCAAGGTAATATTAACTGTACCGACTCGTTGGTAGCAGCAAACCGAACTGTCAATGAAAACATTTAGAAGGTTCAAGCGGGGCCAGATGAATATTCTCGAATATTCTAGTAACTACCTAGGTTAGATAATTTTAATAGAAGCTCACTTATCTTAACATGTAGATAGATATTAGTGGCATCCCTTACGTAGACGCAAAGGCGGTAAAGCTTCTGTGATCTTCACAATTTAGCCCTGGCAAGGCTCTCAAGCCCTTTACAGCACATACATAGTGTATAAGCTAGTATGAATGTTGTTTGTGTATATCGAACTCATGTTTGATAGAAAAGGGGTTATAGTTTAGTGCTCGTAAAATAGCTTATCGCACGAGTAACCATGAGGCTCGTGTTGTAAGTGTACCTAGGGAAATGAAAGTATCCCGTGACACTCTAAGATTCTAGATCTACATGTAGTGGTGTAGTTCGTTGTTACTTGACACTATAGCATGAAGTGTGCTTTAAGAAGCTTGGTGTCTAATTTTATAATTTCACAATGAACAATTTGATTAATTAGATGTGTATACAGAGTTTTTGAAACCACGTCCAATCCTACGGCTGGGAAGTTATCATAGATTAACCTTGCTCTGAGTTTACCAGATATCTATAGCTTTTGAACGTCGACTAGATGGCCCAAATAACAGTTTTAAAGACTCGTTAAGAACAAGGCGGTAATACTATAGCTGTGGAAGCCGGTAGCTATGTGATATATTATCTGACTACGTGTTACGGCTTCGGCATAGTCTCTTAAGGTTAATCCTATAAGAAGGTCTTATAATACGACACTCAAGTTATAGGTACTTAACTATGTTCCTAGGTTTCGCGACAATTCTGTGTGATAATAGTTATAAGAGGTATTCTTTCAGAAATAAGTTATAAAGTTGCAGACGACGTAAATATTACATGGTGCTTAATAGCTATCCTTTTTCGTATATTACCTACCTGCAGATATGTATACATCTATTATTCGGTTTCTTATCCACGGCTTGGCTCCCTTGAGCCTAATTACAACTCCGTAGACTAAAAGTCACCCATATCTCTATTGTTCACATCCTCCCTTACTTGTCGACCATGTACAGGGGGGTAGAGATCGGCGGAGAAGGTTGGATAGCAAGCAAACTCATGAAGAGTAAACCGTGATAGCTTATCAGATTTACTAAGGCTATCTACTAGGTAATCATCGGTGTAGACAAGGTGTCCTAGATCTAGGACAGCAATGATGGTAACGCGTACCCCGCCATAAGCTTTAGGGAGTCTTGTTTTCAGGGGCTGGGCCTGTCAAGCGAGCTTAGGTGGCCGAACAGAAGTATATTTCATAGATATCGTGTCTCGGTAGTCATGAAGTCTTGACTTATCTCTAGAGTGGTAAGCTGTGTGGTGCAGCTATAAAGGGTATTTGTTTTCTCGAACTAGCATGTTATTGAATATTCCAGCCCCATATCGTAGTGAATTTCATGTTAGTGCCGTGAGATAGGCCATAAATATTATAAAACAGGTAGCTTGACGTATTGGTATGTATAATAAGGGGAAAGGAGGTTGTTCAAGATGACCGTGGAATATTCAGAGTAAAAAATCTGTTGAAGAAATTTTATTCATACGTAAAAGTAGTAGCGTATACCCTTTTAATACAACCCATTTTACGACACATACAGTCACTCACAGATAAACAGAGCCCTCAGATGCAACGCAAGTCACCATCAAGCAAGCCCCCTTTTCTCAATCCAAAAATCAAGACCATGGCACCCCCTTCCCAATATCCTCCCCGAACTCCCCCCGCCGCCGAAATATCAAATTCGGCCCAACATGCTGCGAGCCAAACGTATCATACAACTGGAACTCATGCGGCCTACCCCTCCCATCCGTCCTACCCGGAACCCCGGCTCCCACATGTCCCGCCTCCCCCTGCGCCGTCCAGAAATCAAACGTAAAAAGCGTCTTAGCAATGACGAGGCTCGCCTCCAGATACGCCATGTGCTTCCCCGCGCAAGCCCGAGATCCGACCGAAAACGGACTGAAAGCAGCATGCATGCGGCTAAGCGCCTCGGGATCGCCGTTCTCGTCGAGCCACCGCTCGGGCCGGAAGATAAACGGGTCCGCGAAGTACGCCTCGTTGTGGTGCAGCGCGTACATGCACACGCCGACCTGGGTGCCCTGCGGAACGACGTGGCCGTCGACGATCCACGGTTCGCGGGCGTGTTCCGCGGGCGGCAGCTCCCGCCAGAGGGTTCCGGCGATTGGCGGTGACATGCGCAGGGCCTCGTCGATGCAGGCGCGCAGGTAGCGGCAGCTGGAAAGCTGAGGGCCGCTTTTGATGTCAGCAGTACTAGAGAAGGAGCGCCGGATCTCGTCGGCGAGTTTCTTGTAGACTTCCCGGTAGCGCGAGAGGTAGAAGAATAGTGCGCTTAGGGCTGTGGTTGTTGTGTCGCCGGCTGTAGTTGAGTTAGTGCACGGCTATGCCTGGAATAAGGGGTCAGGGGGAGGGAAGCGTATAGGATAAGATACACACCTGCTGGGAAGAAGAACAAGGCTTCGGACCATAACTCGCTGGTCGTAATTCCGTCGGCAGCGTTGTCAAGATGGTCGGCAACGGACGAGTAGAGGTCATTCTTTGCATGCTTCTCCTGAGATAAACGAGTGCTGATCATAGTCTGCAGCGCACGGAGGTACTTCACTCGCTGGCCATAACCTACGAGGAGAAGTAAGTGGTGAAATCCTATGGTATTCAGCAGCGGCCATTGCATGATGCTGTTCATCTGGTACGTTTCTACGCTAAGCCCGCTGGTGACGAACCGATACGTCGGGTCCGTCTGCATGTTAAGAGCAAAGCCGAATGCAAGAAGGCCTACAATGTCCATGCCAAGCCATTTACAGCGTTCCGTCATATCAACGGGGTTAGAGTCTTGAGACGAAGCCATGAGCTGTTCGATAAAGATATCAACCTGCTCTATCATGGTAGGCTCAAAAACACGCGTCGCTTTATCATTGACGGCTTGCCCGATGAGCTTGCGCTTAAGTCTATGCTGTTGCTTATCGATGGTACTGAAAATACTTGGTTTGCCCGACCTCATGGTGAGCTCATAGACATGAGACTTTGTAACTCTCTCATTGTTATAGATGTCTACTGAAGTCAGTATATGTATCTCGTTTACGGTCCTAGCAGACATCGCTTACCTTGTAACGCCTCAACTGAGTTGAAGACCAATTTGTTGGGACCATGTCGCAATACAGGTCCTCCTACATGCCCTCCTACTTAGTAGGGGAAACAACCATTTCTCCTGATTTTTTGAGCTTACCGTATTTCTTCTGATCTAAATAAGTGGTCAAGTGAAGGCGTCTCAATAGTGCGTAGAACCCTGTATAAATGCCGGACAACTTCGCAAGGAAGGGTCCTGGGTACTTTCTTAAGGGATGGAAAAAGATACGGTAAATGATTATGAGGAGGCACTTTCGCAGTATATTAGTGAACCATCGCTACACTAGTAGATTGGGGACTCACATAAGGGATAAATATTACAGCAGGATACTTCACTGCGGATGGTATAAGATCGAGGATGTCCATTTTAGCAGGTTAGTAGGGTCTAGGGTAGGTGAAGCAGAGAAGGTAAGTAAATTCTACCTATAATGGTAAATATTCAAGTTCACCAGTGTTGGCTCTAGCTGACAAGCTGTGCCACTTTAATCGCAAGTTGGCGGATCAATTGTTAATATCTTTTGTTGGTTGTATTTACGAGATTACCTCCTAGGCATATGCAGTTATAGCCTACCCAAGACAGCTTCAAATCCTATTCGGCCGAACGAAGACACAAATAAAAACACAGGATCGATATTACTTGCTTTCGTCGTGCCATGATTTCTTAGCTGGGCATCAGACAAAGGATTGAGAAGGTTAGGAGTTAGTAGTCAGTTCGACTGGATACGGCGCAGCAGCCAATGGCACACATGTACAGGAGAGAATGCTGACTCTAGGATAAGTCTTACTGTACGAACCTGCATGATAAAAGTGCGTTAAACTTTCGTTCACTGCTTGTTATTTAGTCTCAAAGTAGTCCGCCAAAAGTCTTTTGCCTCTGCAAGAGACTCTAGTACAACATGCGGCGTTTGCTCCTTTTGTCGGACGGGCCAAACGACCTGCATGTCGTCGTCCTTTGACCAAAATCCTCGACCGCCACGGTTATAAATAGAGGCTCTTTCTTCCCAAGAGCTTTCCATTTCCTTCATATCGACCACAGAATTATAGGCCGAGCGCTCCGCAGGTTTCCAAGCAGACTTTAGAGCTCCAAGGGCCCGGAGTCTCCCTTGGTCCCAGAACACGTAGCCGCACTCGCGGTATGGCCAGTCCAGCTCATCGTAGATGGCGAAATGTCGACTTATGTCGCATTCTAAAGAAGTCTTCCATATCTGCTCAGCACCAGAATCCTCATCTAGAAAGAATGCTGGCGCCTTCAATATGGCTGCGCCATAACCTTCGTGTGGATTTAATTTGTTGATTTCGTCGAAACAATACGATAGAAAGGCGCTATTTTCCTCAGGTGGCATCTCTTCGATTTTAAGTAGCGCCTCCCGGTCTCTGTATGATTCGGCAGAGGTAATTAGGATAATTCTTTCCAGACCCAATGTTAAAAGGTGCTGAATCGTATTATCATCAATGTTCGCGTCGAAATTGACTAAATATTCTCCCCCCCATACGACATCGTGCCGTGCAATTTCATTAAATACTATGTTATGATAAATTAGTGATGATGTTATTGTGAGAACTATACTCAGAATATAGGTAGTCAGTACGCACCTGGTATCAGCTGTCGAGCTAAGAAATCATGAATGCAAGCTAACTGCGCATTCTCCCAAGGAGCGAATTTGGAAAAAAACACCATGTTCAAATCTTGTGCTCTGTGTGCCCAACGACGTAGACAGCCAAAAAGTCTACGGAATATTTCGAATTGATAGAGCGACCGAGCAATCCGCTCTTTCTCAGAGCTTGAAGGTGAAAGCGCCTGTAGACTATGCCCAATGTCCAAGTAGGATGACGAAGTTCTACTGTATGCTTGGATGAGGTTTTGTGTTAGTTTCAAGACTACCTGGTGATGATAAGCATCGAGCGCTATGGCATCACGCATAGAAAATTCGGTAGGGGAGGGCGTCGATGGCTCCAAATTTCCCATAAACTCGGACGCGTAGGTCTTTAAAGATTTCACCATCTCATCCCTCAGAGATCCTATCTGGCATTCGGGGCTTTCGCTGCAGAATGGCGGAGAGCATCGGTAGGTGATGGTGGCTATGGGTAGAACACTAGATCCGAGGGAGTTGATAAGGACGTTCCATATAATGATGCTCTCGCTTTCCTTGAAAGTCGCGTAGAGAATACGGCAACTCGAAGCGGCGGAGATGAGGGATGTGACATCTGACAAGGACGCGAGAATGCAGTGTCGTAGCTCGGAGGGCAAGCATTCAAGGGGATTTAAAGGATTCTGGACTCCTGATGTTGCTTTCTCATTTATCGCAGGCTTCTCCGGCCGATTACTATCGGGTTCGGACATCTTTTTGTCGCTTGCTGTGTTCACTTCAATCAAGTAAGGAGTAGGCACTTAGGTAGTAATGGTGAAGGTGATGAAAGTGTAAAGCGAGGCGAAAAAGATGGCGGTTATAAGTTAAAGATAAGCCGTTCGAGCTTGACGTAATAGAACTTTCCTCGAATAGAACCTGCCTCAAATGGAACTTGCCTCGAATAGAACTTGCCTCGAATAGAACTTGCCTCGAATAGAACTTGCCTCGAATAGAACTTGCCTTGCGGTTCTGCCTTCCTGCTTTAAGTATCCGCGAAAAGTGGGACACACAGCACACAGTGTAGCAACTGGGAGGACAGGACAAACAACCAAAGGTTCAACTGTAACACTTATACGGATTTATACGCCATCGTACACCTAAGCTCTAGACATGTGAATCTATTCTATTACAACTCAAACCATCAACTTGTGTTCGTTTTCGTCACGCCGGATTGTTGTTTGCTAGAGTACCTAACGTGGTAAGTCTTGTCACTCACATCGTCGTCACTTGTACAACACACACCCCAATAGATCTCACAACCTGGTCATGGGATTTATTGAAGACTGAAGATATTTTAGACTCATAACATAATGTAGGTGCCTAAGGTGATCATGGAATTCGATATATCTCATCCAACCTGCGAATGTGAATCTTCACCTTCTCCAACACTAAGATACCTCGTCAATATGATAACGACAAAAAAGGTGTCGATGAGACCAAAACTAACAATTATAGCGACACACCCTTACACTCATCTTAAACGTACGCTATGTATTTAAACCTCCCCTCCCCTATCCTTCTTGCCCACCTTGAAGAAGACAAACGGTTATGATAACTTAGCAACACTCGTGCGGCAACACTCCTATATCTTCATATAAGAAGCATTCACTCCTATCTATCAAACGTCCCTGTAGCGTTATTAACATGATGGATCAGCCGCGTCGACCACCGTCCTGTCCCCCGCAACCAGAAGAAAGCAAGGCCACCGTCAAAAACAATGCCACCGACAACAAGGACAATTCTGGTATTTACCGAGTCCCTGAGCAACGATTTGGTATGGGAAAACGACAGGACAGCTTTGCAAGCGATATTGCTGGTGGCTCGGAGGAGAAAGATGCTTTCCGCCAGGCTATTGCTGACCGAAAAGCCAAAGGCCTAGACATAGCCCCCCCTGAGAGTCCCTTCGCTCAACAGAGCAACGAATACCATAAAAGTAGCAAGGCGGCTTCAAAGGCCTTGGAAGAATGGAGGAGGCGTCAGGCTCCTGGTCCAGATAAAGTGCAGTTAGCTAATGATGTTGCCCAAGCATACAGACAAGAGGCAAACGACCGTCAAGATATGAGAACTAACTGGCCCGGCTACGATACCTACACCGGAACAAAAGGGCATGCGAAGAGAATCGAACGAGTCAATGACACAGCAGACGAATTCGAGGACAAGAGTGAATATGGACAAGGTTGGTAGAGCTACTAGGCATTGAGCTGAAGGTTGTGTCCGGATTCTAGATGAGACATCTAGAACAAAGGACATGGCCATTTGCCTTGTCGGACCCAAAATATAGGTAGGTATCTATAAGAAGGCAAGCCAAGGTAAAGGGGACTTGATTTACTCCTATCTCCATTAATATCCCTCACGCCCAACCATTTCTGATTTTAGCATTAAGATTATTAGTTATTTTCGTCTCTTTCAAGTGTGTAGAGTGATCGTAGCTTTCCCTACTCGAGGTCAGTATTTGTTTATATGAAGTCCCATCCCCCTACAATCCATAACTTGCCCATATATATGCGTCTACTTACCTCTGAACAAGAGGCATTAGATTGAAGGCATAAATTCCGGACTTGCAGATCACCAGATTTTATCCCACAAAAACCTTCACCCATACCATTTCAATATTTACAACATCTGGTCAACGTGAACAGCCAAAGCCGCCGTATCCCCAACTTCACAGCCCCCCTAATCCTTCTTCCTCCCCTCACTCCCTCCCACGCGGCGAAACTTCCTCTTATCCTTCCTGCTCATCCTGTTCCTATCCCTAGTCCCCTTACCCCCCTCCCAGAACCCCCTCCCCTTCTTCCCGATCACGCTGCGGCCGCAGAACAGACACGCCTCCACCGCGTAGTTCTGCTCCCGGCTGCACCACCCGCACACCATCCGGTTCGCCCACTCCTGCGCGTGGTCCTCGGACGCGTCGTGGCACTTGTCGCACGGGTATACCTTGGCGCAGCACGAGAAGCGGAACCACCGGTACGACCGCCGGTAGTGCCGACACGTGCCCTTCTCGGGCAGCGGGTCGCCTGCATGCAGGCCCAGTTTCTCTACGCGCTTCCGCGGCCCGGCCGCGGGCGGCGGCAGAGACCCGTGGCTGATGGCGAGGAATTTGACCTCGGGGATCTTGAAGGTGAACTTGGCGTGGCACTCTCGGCAGACGTTGGTGATGGCGTCTCCTCGAACGGTTACTAGCCCCTGACTCGGCGTCGAACATCTAGAGCATGTGGGCACGAATGTGCTGCGGGAAATGTCAGTGCGCGAAATACTGCGGAGTGAGAAACGATGAGAGTGTGAGTAAAGTAACATACCTAGGAAGCATGTCGGCGACGGTGCAGCAGGCAACGTCGATGAATCCGGCCCTGGTCGAGCTCTGATGCACCATCTCCTGACGGAACTTAACCGTAAATGCTGTGGCGCACTTCTTACAGCTGCCTGTCTTTTCTACCTCTGGCTTTAACCCCGTTACCTCGTTTAATGTTTTACAGCGCTCGCACTTAACGCTAAGGTTCAATATTGATACTTGGAGTAGCTCGATACCATGCAGTTCGATTGATGGGAATGACATCGCCGTGCCCTTTTCGGCCTGCTGTGTAGCAACTGAGACGCCTTCGTTCCGTATGCCGATCGCCGCACCCCCGTCGTCAGATTCGTCTTCCGAGTCCCAGAAATCATCGTCAGAATTGTCTGACTCTCCGGATTCATTACCGAAGCTCCACTCTGGGGGGCGAGGAATGACTTGAATGTGACTTCTTCCGTCGTCACTGGCATTTTTGGGGGCTACCGTCTGTTGAGATATGGTATCAGCTACCTCGCTATCACCCTTTGAAGCCACCTCAGATGGCATTTTTGCTGCGTGGGCCTGTTTAGCCATTGTGTGAATATTCTGAGAGAGATAATTTAGATGACTCGTCAAGTTCATCTGCTTCTGTTGGGCAGCCCTTTGTGCAAATATTTCTTCTAGGGCCTCAGCATCTTGTGACTCGACGTTATTAAGCAGAGCTCTCAAGGGCTGTAGGGGGTAAAGCAAGGGGATGATCAACTGAACTGATTTAATTTGCTGTAACCCCATCGGCAATTCATTCCGTCGCCTTGGCTCTAAGGGTAAAGTATAAACAATTCCATCCGCGGATTTTTGGTAATGAGGCATCCGAGACATACGAGATTCGAGCTGTCTGATCTCTTGCGCTCGTCTTGCTCTCGCAGTGGCGATTTGCTCTTCCGTGAAAGATTCCTCTGGGACATATTGTCTTCGAGGCACCGGAGTGGGTTTTGGTTGTATATCAACCGTCGGAGATGAAGCCTCGCCCGACACAGCGGCTGAGCTATCCAGGTGTCTTATATCCTTAAAGGATAACAGCGTCACAGTCTCGGTCTTTTGCTCCGAAAGAAATGCTTCAAGGTTTTTGTCCAAAGCATTGATAAGAGCCAATAGAGTTGAGTCTTGATTTTCATGGACAAGCCTGACCCATCCTCTTTCTATATTGACGGCAAATCCACGAGGGATGTCCTTGTTCTTGACCCGAAGAACAGGGGGCCTCTCCGGATATAAGGCAGGTACCCGAAGCTCGCATTTTAGATAATCTAGCTCAAAAGGAAAGTCTGGATCGGATGGTTTGAGCTGGAACAGTAGATTTGTTGTTCCGTCTTGCAACGTATTTTCTATAGGAGAGAAGCGCCTTTTTATCTGATTCAGCTGGTACCTCCGAGGATCCCGAGTCTGTGAGTCGGGGATCGGTTTCGGCACGACGTGATTAGTAGGGGCTCTATCCACGGCTTCGTGGCCGCCAAGGGCGCCACCATGGGAAGTTGTAGTTGAAATCATGATGTTAAGAAAAAAGGTCGGGCTTCACCGAAAAGGACACTTCAAATCACTAAGAGGTTTTCCGCCAAATGTGGAAAAGAAAATTATCCTTACGCTCGAGAACTTAGAAGAGATATGTGAGACATCGATGTATTTGTGGTTTTTATCTACTTGGGGCGATGATGACTCGACCCAAAATTGTTGGCTTAAAATGATTCAGAATGATACCTCACAACAGGACCAAGTACGAAATCCGAAGACCTTCCATAACTGCATAGTCCCGTTGCCACCTTATCATCAGCCCCGCTCTTAGCATCTGCCTCCAGGACTGATAATTACATGACCGCATTCTTCCTGACATAACTGAATGAGATTCCAATTTTCTCTCCTTTTTTTTGTAATCACTCAAACCTGCATCTCTCCTAGTTACCATACTTCCCCGTATTAGCTCAAATGAATATCGTCTGGCAAGGTTGAATGTTTGCAATGTGGCGTTAGGGACCATACACCACAGAAATTGCCATCCATTGTTGCACTATTAATGGACTGGTGAATGAAACCCTAAAAACGGTAACACTCATCTGCAATGGGGACCGTGGTGTTATACAGCGTCTTCTCCCATGAGCCCTCGACATACGCATTCACGGAGAAATTGAAAGCTGAGCGTAGCTCGAAGCCGTTGGTGCAGGTAACGTTCCTGGGCCAGATCATTCGGCTAGCCTTTCTGACACGCGTTTGGCTCTGTGCCACGTTCAACTCGTTCACAAACTGAGGCCGTGCCGTGATTCCGCCTGTGGTATTGTAAAGGCCATCCATGACATCAAGGGCCAATTCAATTGTGAAATCAATGAAAGGCGATGCATGTCCTGTAGCTGCTTCCGCAGTTTCGACAGCAGAAGCGAGGCGTGGTGACCATCCAACAGCGTATGATTTATTAGCATCCATGAAGTCAATATGTGCGTGACCATCATTGATTTCAGTCGTGATATTGCTATTATGGTATATAGCTCCCACAGCGCCAACATCAGCACCTACGGCCCAACGAAGTGCTGGTTTGAGACTGAAGGCATTAGGCACACTAATAGCACTGGGAAAGAATTGGCCAGGGGAGAATAAAAAGTTGTTGTTGTCAAGAGGTGCGGTGAGGTTGAAAGTGACGGATAAGTCACCGATGAAGGCCGCGTCTATGTCGAACCAGAGACTCTGGAGGCGCGCGCTTGGAACATCGTAGCTAAAATAGCCGCGGATTATAGCAGCATCGGTGAGGTATCCATCCTTGGCTATAGTCGTAAATTGTGGTGCCTCGAAGATTTCCATGTCCGGAGGAAGTGAGAAATTGGAGGCGACATTGATGCCAGGCTCATCGAACGTGATGTTTCCGCTACTGTTCTGTATTGAGCCTCGGACATGGGAAAAGGTAACATGCATGGAATCTTTGAACCAATGTTAGTCAGTTCAACTGCTTAATATTGCTTCTAACTTACCAGTTACAGCAACAAGATTCTTCTTGATAGTCCGCGCCGTCACTGTGGCGATGTCGTCCTGCCAGATGAGACTCTCGACTTCGTAGATTCCTCTTTCACCTTTAGCGTCACAACCCTCTGCGCTGTTCGTGACTAGGTAGAAGATGTCATAGATTGGCCATATTCCAAGGGCGCGCTCGAACGCAGTTGTAGAATTGAAAGTAACAGTCACCGTGTTAGACGTGCAAGTAACCGCGTGTACCGATCCGATGGACTCGAGTAGCATCACAGGTTGCTTGGTTAGTAGATCAATGTTGACGCTATTGAGGGGATCCATGGAATTGCCGAAAGTATAGTAGAGACTAACGTTCTTAAGCGGCACCATATTGGCGTACTTGTTCACATCATAGCGAGGGGCCAAAACCGGGTGCAGGTCGGTGAAGTCGTTCCACGCGCCAATAGCAGTGACAGCCAAGAAGGCAAAGCATGTCAAGTAGGATGTGAATCGCATGATTGCGGTGGTGGTTTATCAAGATTGTGAAAGAACGTGATGGGAAACGAATAGTGATAGGCTTAGAGTCAAGTATGAAAAGTGACGAGAGGCTAGACTTGGATAGAGAGACGAGAAATTCAAGTTAACTATCCTAGGCCTGGGGAACAAGAACAGCGAATGGTTTATGTTGTGAATGGTGCGGATGATATTTTGTTGTTTGCGGTTGGAATATGTGTTGAGCGTTGGTGGTTACCTGCAAGAGTGATCCTCGGACGTTCTTGCCTGAGCAAGTTTCTATACGGCGCTGAAACAGACTATGAGCAAGTTGTTCCAAGCCACCGAAGTTATATAACCCTTTTGGTTATAGAACCTACGCAGGTAAGGCAGTTACACGTCTGGAGTTTCTTGTTCAGAGTATTGCTGTCTCCTAAGGTCTATATTTGGCAACTACCACTCCGAATCTCAAGAAGTCTCGCAGCGAAGGTGACTGCCCATGTACAACCGAATATTTCGTAGCTGAGCAACTGCATACCTGATAAGGTTTATATCAGGTAGATTATGTACCTAGTTACAAAATACATATATGTTACACATTAGCCATCAACACATTAAAGTGGGAGGCGGACATAACCTCAAGAATTATCTCAGTGATTATCTTAGCGTTTTAGACCAGAGTTCGTGGAGGTGGCGCCCGCTTACGGTCTGAGGAACTGAGATAAATTCTTCCAATGTTGGGTATTTCATTGATGACCACAAGATTAAGACATTCAACTTATTCGAGTCTTCGACTGAAAGGACATCACAGCGCGTCTTAGGTCGACATCCCCCCTCCCCAAACAATATAAAACCTCTAATTGGGTAAGTACATAACCTTAGCCAAGGTATCTATCTATGTAATATCAGGTAGTTGTGTATGATGAATGTAGCTCTTTACCAGTGATGTTTATCATTAGACGCATATGAAGAAGTCAATTCTAGCAAAGAGTAACATGTATGTAAGAGGACACCAAATAAACCCTTCCACACCCATAGGTTTACTACTACTATCCAACCCTACAGATGAAGTTGCTGTCGTTATTGGAAGTTTAAGAAATATCAAAACTAGATCATATTGCTAATTGGGAAAAAAGTCGAGCTTATAGCCTAAGATGTCCCGGGGCGAACGTATCTTGTGGTTCAGGTATAACGCGTCTGTGTAATTGTAGAAATACATTTAAACAATGCCAGGATATGAGGGCATCCTGATAGCGTATCTAGCACAAAGGACGAAGAGGAACGAAGAATGAAACTAAATATGAGCTGCAAGGGCTGCTATGGGTTGCCTACAAGCTTCACCTATCAGTATGGCTTCTTTTAGTATCTGTCACATATACTTTTATCCATCGATATATCAGTGTTTCTAGGTAACTAGCAAAAAAAAAAAAAAAAAGAGGTATATAGTCTTGTATTCTCTGTTTATCGAGGTGCTTTACTGTATTGGTCGATTTCTATTAAGCAAGGCCTTAGACCTCATTAGCCCTCCGTGTCGACTACCTCTTAATCGACAACGGCCTCAGATGCCCGAGCCGAACGACTCTCTTGCTTCTTAGTCTCTTCCTTGAGAGCAGTCTGGAAAGCTTGGCGTATCTGCATCTGCTCAGTCTCAGTGAGAGGAATTGCGCTGCCACGCCGACGACGCCAGCTTGGCTGGGTCTCCTTCAGTGTTGCGTCGGGATCTTGGCCGGTTGGATCCTTGAATTCGTATGAACGTATCTCGGTGTTGTCCCAACCAGTACCTATTGGCCGTTAGTGGTCATCTGCTCTATCCGAAGGAGTGTATAGTTTGCATACCTCTCTCTATCTTCACCCCATCAAAGTCCTCGGTAAGGAAGTGGAGAATGCCACCATGGGTGACAAGGATAACCTGCGCGTCATCTCCGGCTTTGTTCACCAAGTCCCTAAGCCATACCCTAGCGGCCCGCGACCTCGCCTCAAGCTTGGCAGGGGTGGGATGATATTTGCTTTCGCTGGACTTATCGTTCCACCCCTCATGAAGCAGATGGAAATCCACAAGTTCGCCAAATTCTTCTTTTAACTTGCTGGGGTCTGAGCCAATATCGCAAGGCAACGTGGAGATCTCTTGAGCATCCGGGAGAGCGATTACTTTCTTCCCGGCTTTAACCGCTGGCGCAAAAGAGCGCAGACAAGTAAATATCGTCCGTCGTATAGGGGAAGCGACGAGATGTGTAATTTTATCGTGAGCATCGAATCTCTTGCAGAGCTCATCGCACTGGGACTCGCCTAGAGGTGTCAAGTCTGGGTCGCTTATTTGCTGATTTGCTTCGTTTAAGTTGTGATAACCTTGAGCATGGCGGACGAGATGAATAATATGAGCCATTACTACAGTAGCTCTAATAATATATTTTAGGGACTTTAAGAAACTTGGCTTCTGATGAAGAGCAGAGAGTTGAGACAAGATATGTTCTATTCTTTCTAACTATTCTTTAGGTACTCATCGGAGTCTAGGGTAGTTTCTTTGACAGATGTGGCTTGTCGGTTGTCGGTTGTCGTTTGTCGTTTGTCTCGGACCTTATTTGGACCGCTGATGACTATTCGAGACCCGATTGCGCTGATGCTAAACCCACTAACCCAGCCTAGTCATTGTGCAAACTCTGATTGGTTTGAATAATTGGTAGTTACCTAACCTAGGTACATATGTTAGTCTTTATGTGGCTTTTGGATAATGCAGTACCGTTCTTCGCAGTGGACCTCCCAAAACATTTATTTGATTGACTCATTTTGAACTCGTAATTTGAACTACTCATATTGCGAATTCGCCCAGCTTAAGCCATGACGTACCTTTAAAAAGGGGAACGTTTAGTCTAATCGGTCAGGAGCTTTCAAATGCTGCAGCTATCCGAGGATCTGCAACCCAATAACCTGGTTCTGCATTGCAACATTTCGAAACGTTGAGGATTTTAGATATTGAGGTGTGTTCGTGTATGTAGGCAGGTAGGTCATGTGGGATACTACCCAGTAATCACCTGTACGAAAGATATAATTAACAATTTTGCGATCTGGTTAGTCTGTAACTATTTTGGAAACAATTACGAGGTACTATGTACAGATGAAGGCTTCCGGGATCTTGTGTAACGACTTATCTCGCTAGATCGGCGCTATTGTCGGATTTAGAATAACTCTCCAATAAGCTGGCTTGCCGCTGATTGCCGCTGAGTTTACGGACGGGTAAGATCCCTCGAGATAATAATAAAATTTAATATGTAACTAAATTTAATATGTACGAGATATGCAAGCCATCATATACCTGTCGTCTTAACTACCCCAGACTAGAATGTCTGAGACTGCCGCACATAGGAACACTTGGGACGTGCCCAACACATGTGTGAGACGCGGAAATATAACGTGTAGCTATGCACTAACAACGATGTCGAATTACCCGTCATAGTTGGTAGAACCCTGAATAACCCCTCTATCTCTCTATCCCTCTAGCTTTCTAGCTACTTACTTAACCCAGGTATGTGCATGCAAATAGTGTACAAATACATAGCAAAGGAACAGGCGATGTGACCATTTCTAAATTAAACATGATGCAAATCTGAAGTTGGCGTAGCTCAGCTGCTACCTTGAGTACCTGGTACAATGCAGTACCATACATACATGTAGTCAGTATAAAAGATGCATATCTATTTGCTATATACATGTAGATATGTAGATACCTATGTAGGTACTGGTAATGACCAATACATGAGCAACCCCTGAACTGTGGTGTAATTGTCTGTAATTGTCTGGAAGCTCCTTGGCTGGTATTGTCTGTTGGTTAAGGCCAGTGCACCTTATTGGCGGCCCGGCGCTAAAATGATAGAAATATCCAACGTGCGTGCATGGGCTGCGTGGGCTGCGTGGGCTGCATGGGCTGCATGGGCGGTTGTCAATAGTTGTCAAGGGTGCAGTAAAAGGGTTGCTTCTTCAATTTACCAATTTACCAATTTACCACTTATCGATTCCCCAGTTTTAATCTCGACAACTTCCCCCAAAAGCCACTTCTTACCTTTCCTTCTTCTTTACGACAACATTTATTTGTGCGCACGTCAAGCATCAACATCGACACTTCCTCCCTCAAGTCTTTGTCTTCGAGACGCGCCGTTCATTTGCACCACCACGCTTCAATTTCTCATCCAACTCTGTCACTTTCAATACCGCAATCATGCCTGGTGTTCGTAAGTCATCCCCATTCCTCCTCTCGCTATGCACTCCTGGAGGGCCTATGTCTGTTCTGGATATGATGGATATGAATCATTCCCCCGATCATGAACAGTTGCAAAGACTCTGTCCTTCCACTTCCCCAATCCGATATGATCGACCTATCTTACCATCTAAATACCCCCAAGTCAATTCATGAAAGATTATAATACTAACATGCCATACCCATCATAGCTAAGGATGCTCTTGACAACTTGAAGGCCAAGCTCAAGAAGATCTTCAGCAAGAGCAAGAAGCCCAAGGCTGAGAAGAAGCCTGCCGAGGCTGACGCTTCGAAGACCGACGCTGCGGCTCCTGCTGGTAAGCTCTATCTGATTCCTCTAGCATTATTTAGCTACCCTACACATGACAACGGATTTCCTTACTGAATTGTTACTAACTCGTCATAACTGCAGCCGCCGCCGAAGCTCCCAAGGCCGACCAGCCCGCCGAGGCACCTGCTGCTCCTGCACGTAAGTCCAACCCGTACCCCTCCTTTGTTTCATGTTGGATGCGCACCGATGGGTCTCCCCCGCGGGGGGTTCCCTAGTGTTACATGCATCGTACTGGAATCGGAATTGCGCGTGACACTAGCTAACAATCTTCTCGGAACAGAGACTGCTGCTACTACTGAGGCCCCGAAGGTAGAAGCTCCCGCCGAGGCCGCTGCCCCGGCTGCGCCCGCTGCTCCTGCAGCCGAAGCCCCCGCTGAGACCAAGGAGGAAGCCAAGCCTGCCCCCGCTGCCTAAACGGGCGTCGTCTACAATGGTCTCCGATCGAATCAATTCAGACAGTATAAACTGAACTAATATGGTCGTTGGACAAGTGGAGTGGACGGGGCTGCTTTCTGTTGCAGATTGCTGACAATGGTTTTGATTTCATGGCTTGGTGGTTGCGAATGGACGGAGGATATTCCCACAGAGTTTGCAGTTTGAGAGATACCCTAATAATACTGGTTTGGCACACAATGGCATTATCCTTCGGTCTTAGGGGTCTATCAGCACGTGATACACTATACTTCTAGTACCAGGTTTACCCTACCTATTTCATATTGGTCTTGAACCTTGAACGCTATTGCATGTGATGATCTATGCTAAGTACCTACATCCCTTACCTCGTGGCCAGGTGGGCTGTTTGAAAAGACATACCTGAGTGCATATTCACCCATTCCCGAGGTTCTCTTGCTTTGCATGCAAGACTTAGTGTAGATACTATCTGACTATTCCTTGAGCATTACTGATTGCAATATGATTTAAACAAGCCCATTATTCTGTTTGAGGACCAGAGGATAAATTGATACGCGCGCTTGGTAAGTGTATTGAAGCTGTCTATAGGCAACAGAACTCTTGTATGTTTTTAATGCTAGTTCTACAAAGTAAATGATGGCAATTGGTAATTCTGGACTGGGTTGATAGATAAAAACGGTAAGGTTCGAGAAAGTAAATGGAAACACGAAGTCTGGTTCATTGTGGGCTCTCATTACACACTTTGATGCCATATCTTTTCATGGGTCTTAGAGTGATCATAACTCTATGTGCTTCTACATAACTAGTTGTCCTTAATACATAGAAGGACTAATCCTGAGATATAGGGGCCTTCGAATATCCTAGTCGAGTTTGCAATATCGCTTCTATTAAACATAATAATCATAGAAAGCGCCTGGGATTGCGGTCATGTTTTTAAATATGACTATGGGGCTCAATAAGTTTTGGGGGACCTTTATCCTCACCCTGCGAGTTATTAAGAAGCTTGGGTAAACGAATACATACTTCATAGAAGTAAACCTAAGCTTCTAGAAGACGAACTTCGTAAAATAACTTGCGCATTTATCCACTTGGCCTGTCGCTAGATTTGGTCCAAGGGGCTTGGGTGATAGATGATTGGGTACCTGGCGTGCTGGTCCGTGGTTGAGATGGTCTAGGGACAGGATGTCCCGGACCCCACGGTGCTCGGGAGTATGGAATACCAGGTCCGGAGGGTGGCGGCATATTTGTTGTCTGTGCCCATGGTGCGGCTGTACCGGATCCAGTTGCTGTAGTTGGCGGCGGCGGCATGGATGTTGTAGAAGGGGGTTGGTTTGCCATATGGATACTCTGCTGAGGGGCCGCGGCATTAGGATCCTGTTCCCAAGAAAATAGTAAGCCGAATGGAAAATGTTGCACCACTGGGAACTTAGAAAGAACTTCGGCGTTGAACATCTTGATCATTCCCTGCGGCAGAGTTAGCGAGGAGTGAGAGACCGTTATATCTATATCCATACCTTGTTGATTTTACCCCAACCGTCCTTGATACCAGATATATCGAATAGTATGGGACTGTGCTCCCAAAAAGGACCCTTCTTCACATCGTTGATAAACCCTACGGCCGAGAAATACATGTTCTTATTTCTCTCTTGTTCAACATATTCAGCTTTGACTACTTGTGCAGGTTTAGGTGCCCGAAACAGGGAGCCTTCAATCGGCATGGGCTCTGAATCTGTAATCGCACGGCTTAATTGTGCCGAGCCGTAGATATAGGGTTGGAACGAGTGATCATCTAGACCCCAGACGCCATGGGATCCCGCAGGCTCAAGCGTATATGTTAGAATCAAGCGTCTCACCACTCGAAGGTAAGGTTCAAAAATACCGAGCACGATGCTGCGCTCAATGTCACCACCCGGCCTACCATCCTTAAATGCGCCAAGTTTCCATAGGCCTCCGAGAAAAGCCAAGAAGCTTAACTCATGACCGGTTCCGTAGTCGAGTCTCTGCGGACTCCCAAACCCACCAAGTAGATAAGCTGTGAGCTCGTCTTTGGAGGTGGTATCGGATTCACCCCCATGGCCAAAATTTAAGACGGATCCAGGTAGGAACTCTTCAAGGAGGTCTACGACTCTTTCTTCTAGCAACTTGTACCACTTCCGGAAGCTAACATTTCCAAAGCGCCTCGGTCCTTGATCAGGCGGAGCTTCGTCGATGTAAGACTCTATCCTGACAAGTAACTCTTGAAGCTTCAATACCGACTGAACCGGGTTGGTTTCGTATTCCGAGCCGATATGGAAAGCTATGATCTTGTCCTTCCCATCATCTCCTACAGACTTTCGAGGACACATGGCGCGGTTTAGCTGCATGACAAATATGCCAATATCTCGATAGGCTTTTGAAGTCAAGAACCTAGCGACGTCAGGCCCATCGTTAATCTGTTTTGTAGGCTTGATAAAAGTGTATTTCTTTGAAGGATCCCATATCTCTAAGACGGGGAAACCATCAGGACCCCCTGGAGATTGTTGCGAATCCTGAACAGTTGCCATAGCCACTTTAGGTATTAGTTCTTTTAGAAATGACGAAACCAGAAGTTGGTAAAATATATGATCAATATAGTACACGGCGTTTCTTAGCTGCGTCACAGCTTCCCGAGTAAGACATAGGTAGGTATGCCCCGCCCCCACTATGTATTATGTACATACATGTAGGATGTGCTTGCTACCTCATTGTACATATTAAAAGCTTCTGCACGGGCCTCAAATTGTTAGGTAACACTGATACTTCCCTTGTATGTACTTTCCTTTGACCTTTGACTTTGCAATTCGCGAAACCCCACAACCCGCTTTCTACACATACATACCTCCAACATGTAGGTAGGTACCTCCTGCTATGTTGCCCGGCACCCCGGTAAGTGAGCCGTGTGGCTGTGTGCCGAAAAGTCGAGACTGAGATAATCACGCGTCGTAATTAAATTATTACTTTCGCGAGAGCCTCACACAATTCACTACCGATGGTCACCTCTAATTAATCTATATTCAACGTCTTTTCGAAAGTAGACGGAACATAGCCTACCATCTTCTTTCCCTTAATTAATACCCAACTTTCGGATACGCGCCCCAGTTGATTCTCATCGTATTTATTATATCCAAGGCCGGAAATATGGTGGGGACCCGGAGTGGAGCTCAGGTTCTAGCTAAAGGTCACATTCCAGACGGAGGGCGAATACAACAGCATAGTCATAGCCCTGAAAGCGTCGACAGTGGTGAGGATGAAATTCCTTGTATCTTATCACCTAGACGCTCAATCGATCCGAGTATACGGTCGCTAGATCACCGCCGAAAGCGGAGTCGACAACTAGATGATGACCTATCTGTACAGTTTAGTTCATCTAAAAGACGGAAAGTTGAGCCTACAACTAATTCTAGAAATGCACGCCTATATCCAACGCCTGTATTACCATCTGCTAGGCGGTCGGCAGGGACTATATCTGCTCGAAAAGCAAGCAGAAGTCCCGAATATGATGTACCTCCGGGCCTGGTAAGCAGTGTCAATGCCGCGTTCAAAAAGAAAGGACGTGGGGATCATCAGCAACTTCCAGCGTCCGCAAATAGTCATTTGAATAATGAAACCACCGGTTCAGAAGAAAACGAGGATGCGCGGGAAAATGTAGATGATAATGCTCAGGTCCAATCCAACCATGACGAGAATATAGGCTTGCAGGAATTTCAGGCTCATGATGCGACTGGCATATCTGGGCGCGGCAAATCCTCACCAGCGCTCATCATTGACCATGGGGAGGGGCACGAACTAGATTCCGCCCCGAACAATAATAATATCGTTCAACATGGCCCAGATGAAGTTCAAAGCCAGGCTGATATATGGGATATACCCGTGTCACCTGGCCAACAACCATTACCTAGGCAGTCAGCAATCTCTAATGTTTCGGGAGAACTGCCTCTGCGTGCAAGACGTATCGAAGTTCATATACCACACCGTGGCTTGAGGTCTGTCCAATTCTCTCAAACAGGACAAACTCAAACTTCTGAGCATCCCCGATCTGCATTGGAAGGAGATCAAAATGGTTTGCTACAATTGGTACAACCAAACCCTGAAGTTGGCACACAAGATATACAGGAGGAGGATGAAGTGGGTATTGCTTCGGAGCGTATTGATGGACTCTCCTCAGACGACGAAAGCCTTTCGGATTTTGACTTGTCCGAAGATGGTTTCGCTCAGGATGTGGCAAAATTTCGAGCTCGATATCCCAGGGGCTACAAAGGTAGTGAAATACTTGAAAGCCCCCAAGAAGATGATGTTACTATGCACATTGATTCTTCTAGTCTTGAAAAGGCGCTTCGACTCATAGGGCATGAAGCTTGGTCTGGTAAGGGACGAAAATGGCATGAGCGGCCATTTCTATTCGATTTTATGCAGCCTGGTCCCGTTCGAGTTTTACTTAAGTTTCTAACGAAACTAGAGAGATTGCTTGTGGCAACTCCAAAAGCTCCTCAAATTATAGAGCAAAATAAATTTTTTAATGACTACGGTGATCTCTTTGGTTATTATTTCTCGAAGATCAAACTTACGGTCCGTCATATTCGGGGAATGAAGCCTGCAAAGGGAGGGCCAAGTCGATTACAACAAAATCAGGAAATCAAAAAGCATGACCAGCTGGCTGGGGACATTGCTTCGCTCGCCATTCCTATGCTGTTTCATGTTCTAGCATCTGTGTGGTGGCTAGGTGGTGGGAAGTATGGGGGCCACTCATCATTTACAATTTCTGCCATTGAGTTACTTATGAGGACGCTTGGTTGGATCGGGTTGTTATACCGCCCGTTGCTTAGAGCGCTAAGACAACAGCCACCTGGTGCTGAAGAGGAGGGGGAAGGAGAAGAGGAAACCAAAATCCAGAGAAAAACCGGACGCTTAAAACGGGAGAAACGAGAAGAGCTTGAGGGGATTTTAAATGAATTGAAGCGGCTTGTTGAGTCTGGTCCAGATATCCTCGAGAGAGAAGAACGCCGCCTCCGACTGGAACATCAGGCTAATCAAGAGCGATTGAGACGACAGGAAGAAGTTAGGGCCCAACGGAGGCGGGAAGAAGAATTATTGAGGATATCTAACCAGGACCGGCAATTGAGGTCGGTGTTGTCTATCAGGGGAGTCCACATGCCGCTCTCACAATCACGAATATCAACGTCTACGCGAGGGTCATTGGCCCAAGAACCGTCACAAATACGACCGTCTCAAAATCCTAGCGATTGGTCTGACGAAGAGAAGATATTCCTCTTCAAGAAAATACAGGAGTCGTACCCCGATTTACCAGACTTGGATGATGTCCGCTGGGAACTTAATCGAACCCTGAACGACACCGAGGCAATGGCAGAAGAGCTCTTGGAACAGATGTTGAAAGCTGTGTGTCCGCAACAAACGGCAGCAGACAGAAATGCGCATATCCAAGAGATTATGCAGAATTATAGGCGTACATGGGGTCATTGAGTTTGGTGGTTTGAGGAATGAAAGTTACTATACCCGTGCGTGTGCAATGTTTAGCTCTTGGCTTTTAGAATATCAAGTCTCAAAATTTAATTCTACAATACTTTGACTCTATTGTTCTGGCGTATTGCTATTGATGTGATTGAATCGCATAATGGTCTAATTGCCAATCCTCTCCGGTCTGGTTATCTACGTATTAGAGGTCTTGATTGATTTGATTGGCTCTCGGGTAAGTATACCTGTGGTTCTTGAGAACATCTGAGACAGGTTTTCTAGGCTTACAAGTAGGGAGTTGTCTAGCTTCCATGCCAAATGAGAGGCTAGCATACCCAATTATTAGATTGCGTACATGCGGTCTGCATGCTGTCGGGTCATCAGCGGGGGGTCGACGGCATTAGTTGGCCAATTCGCGGTCTCAACCTCCAGCTTGGCCAAGTCGTGCCTGCAGACTGAACCAGTTGAGGCCGAGCGGTTAGATTAGCTGTGATGCATCATTCAGAGCTTCTCATTAGCAGGTCGGAAACTAAAGTTGACCTTTTCGCTATGTAAGGCGGGCTTGTTATGTATAATGTATGAGGACATATGTATGAGGTATGTATGTACATGCAGGTAATCGGTGGTAGATATGTATCCACTGAAACGAGGCGGACAGGCCAAACCATGTCACATGTTTATTATTGGGTTGACCGTTATCAATTACGTAGCCGAACAGAGACGACGTTGCAAAAGCAACATTGTAATGAAACAGAATGGCGAAGAGTTAAGATGATGTATGTATAGCTATAGGTACCTTATATTACATTGTCGTGTTAGAAGTAAGCGACGTCCATGCGACCGTTTGGAAGTTTGCTCCTAGTACTTTTCCTTCGTAAGAAGTAAATTAAAGAATGTTCTTAGGTTAACTAGGTAGGCAGCCTTTTTATAGGAGGCATTTAAATGCCGGCTAGAGGTACCAGCCATCTGGTTTCATTAGTGCTTGTTTTTAGTGGAATTAGTAGGGTGAATTGGTAGGTGGGTTAGCCGGCGCAAGCACGGACCAAAGAACTGCAGGCGAGCTTAGAGCTCTTATTGCTCAATGACAATTGACCCGCTAGGGCCCCTGTGAAGCCCCTGTCTGGACCCCTGTGATTAAGTGATCCCCTCCAGCGATGATTGCCTATCGGGGTTTAGGTTCAGTGCTTAGACGGGCTCTGAGCCAGTCAGCCAGTGAGGAAGTCGGTCGTTTTGTGGCGGTCTTAACAGTTGGTGCAGAATCTTGGAGAAGCCATTCTCTTTTTTTTTTTTTTACCTTTTCCACCCCCCCCAATCCGACACTTTCGTATCTTTTGCAAAAGGGCGTCGCGAAGGATTGAGAAAAAAGCTCTTCACGTCGCGAAAGAAAATACGCGTTCTTTTCTGGGTCATCTTTTCTTTTACCTGATTTTTAAATCTTCATCGCCAATACTATACCAGTAATAAGTAAAATACTTTACTGTATTATACCTCACTGGTTAATATCCCGCGGTGCTAATCCGATATCGAGACGAGCAAGGGGGAAAAAGGAGTCTGTAAGACGACAGGTCAGTCAACACACCCGATTCAACCCACCATCAACACTCAACCCCCCCCTTTTGTGACGTGTCGGCGCTGCGAATATTAGCTGTTTACAGTCTTGCTTGATTCTTTGATCAATGAGAATCTAAAGCTATATTGCATTCCAATCGTCGCTCACTCATACTCGTAACCACTGATTGTGTTTGAACATTTACAATTGTTAACACTCTAGCTTTCTAGAAAGTTATATCAGTAGCGCTCTTGATTTTTCCCGACCTAGAGACCTTTGACAAGCAACCGATTACGTGTATCTGATAATAGAGGTCTCTCTATCCCGTAAAGACCGAAATCATGTCTGACGCCGAAGGATTCGAGGTTGTCCAGCACGACGAGTCGGTTCTATCGGGCGAGGAGACTGCCGGTACTGTTGGTACTGGGGCTACTGAATCGCCCAAATCTTCGGTTAAGTCAAGCAATGGATCTAAAACCGAAGACAATGCCGTGAAGCGACCAGCTACTGGCACTTCCGGTGTCCGTCGTCCGGGAACAGCAACCAGTACTGCTCCGAAGACTGCCACAACTACAACGGCTCGTGCTAGTGGCGGTTTGACCAAGCCTCCAACTCGCCCACCTGCTGGGGCCGCTGTCAAGAAGCCGTCAGTAAGCACTACCATGACCCATAGGCCCCAGCCGTCTGTTTCAGAAGATGAGAGGAAGAGGTCCACTATGACCTCTGCGGCGGCGCGTCGAACCTCGATGGCACCAAGCGTAACGTCTCCCGGAAAATCTAGCGTTAGATCGGGCATTTCTACTACTACCGCGGCAAGGAAGCCCTCCTCGGCTACTAGTAACATAGCATCGAGGACCAATACCCTTGCAAAGCCCACGCCATCTACAGCTGGCACGGGGAATTCCCTGTCGGCACGGACATCGACAGCCACCCAGCCTAGAGCTCCTAGTGCTGTAGCTGATGCAAGGAAGCGGCTATCCAGCGTCACAGGTTCTCCGATTTCTTCTACTGGAGTTGCGAGACATGCGCCTCGCCCATCTATCGCGTCGCCGACTTCTGCGGTAGCAGCAAAGGATATTGAAGACTTGAAAGCGAAGCTTGCCGAGAAAGAGTCCGAGGTGGAGTCCTTGAAGGAACAGGTTGTTTCTTCTCAGGCCAAGGTCACCGAGCTTGAAGAAAAGATCAAGACCGAGGTAAATGGCGTCCAGGGCGCCGAAGATGTCGTGCGCCAGGGACACGAAGAACTCTTGGAAACCTTGAAGTCAGCCCATGCCTCCGAGAAGGAGACTTTAAGCATCCAGATCTCGGAGGCTGTTGACAAGCTCAAGGCTGCCGAGGAGCAGCTTGAAGCCCACAGGAAAAAGTTAGCTGAATTAGCTAGCTCCCAGGAAGCCAAAAACACCGAGATTGACGGCCTACAGAGCAAGCTCGAGTCCCTCCAGCTTGAGAAAGATACCGGTGCCAAAGATAGCGAAGGTGCTTTGACTAAGGCGGCTGAGGAGCACGCTGCTGAATTAGAAGGTCTTCGGAAATCGTTAGATGAGCAACATCAAGCTTTCGTTGAAGCTCTAAAAACTTCGCATGCAGCCGAACTAGACCAAACAAAGGCCTCATCCGGCGAGCACGAGAAGGCACTTGAAGAACTGAAGGCCGCTAATGAAGCGTTCCAGAAAAAGATTGATGAATTAACCTCTTCGACCGACAGCGTGAGTGCTGAGAGTGCTTCCAAGATTTCTGCGCTTGAGAATGAGCTCGCAGATCTGAAGTCTGCTGCTGAGCAAGACAAGGCTGCACTGGCTGCTTCGCAGGCAGAACTACAAGAAGTTAAAGCGAAGCTTGAGGAGTCCCTCGCTGTCGTAGATGCCACGAGGGAAGAGCTGACCAAGGTCAAGGAAGAGTTTGCTAGCTTACAGGAGGAGTTAGGTCAGGTAAAAGCGGATGCATCATCCAGCGCTGATCTCGCTACTCAGATCAAGGAGGCCGAGGAGAAGTACGAGAAATTAAAGCAGGAACATAAACTCTCAGATGAGACACACGAAGCCCAACTGAAGCAGGTATCCCAGGATTACGAGACAGAGATTGAGAGCCTCAAGGGTGATGCTTTCTTCAAACGCAAGTTTCACGTCCTAGAGGAAGAACATAACGAACTAAAGACCAAATTTGACGAGCTAACCGGTACACATTCAACGACTGTCACAAGCCACGCAGAAGAGTTGGAGGCTGCAAAGGCTGAATATGCGGCTGCTGTTGCAGCCCTTTCCGCCAAGGAAGAGGAGCATCAAAAGGCACTTGACGCATTACAAGCTAGCCATGCAATGGATTTGGAAAGCGCCAAGAGCGGTGCTTCAGTTGACAAGGAAGCACAACTAGCCGAACTAGAGTCTCTCAAGGCCAGCCATGCGAAACAAATTGAGATCTCCAAGGCCGAGAGTGAAGCTGCCCTCGCAAGGGAGCTAGAGGCTCTCAAGGCTGCCCACCTGGAGGTTCTCAATGCTCAAAAGCAAGCCTTGGATACAGAAATTGCCGAGTTGAAGGCTGCTCACGCCCAGGAGCTCTCTACTAAGGATGCTGATAGTAGCGCGCATGTGGCGCAACTAGAGGCTTTGAAGACAGCTGTCGAGGAGGCGCAGGCTGAACTGGAGAAAGCCAAGGCCAGCCACGCACAAGAGATTGCCGAGAAGGAGGCTGACAGCAGCGCTCATGGTGCTCAGTTGGAAGCATTGAAGGCGGCCCTCGCAGACGCGCATGTGGAACTCGACAAAGCCAAGGCTAGCCATGCTCAGGAGCTGGCTGCTAAGGATGCCGATGGAAGTGCCTATGTGACCCAATTAGAAGCCCTTAAGACGGCGGTCGAAGATTCTCAAGCCGAGCTCGAGAAAGCTCAAGCTAGTCACGCCGCTGCTCTCGAGGCCCTGAAGAAGGAAACCGAGGATGCCCACTCCGCCGAGATTGAGAAGCTGATAACAATGCAGTCCGAAGCTGTAGAAGCCGCGAAGAACAACGCATCGGGCTCTCACAAGGAAGCCATCGAAGCCCTGGAAGCGAAGCATGCCCAGCTGATCGAGGAGTTGAAGCAAGACCACGAGAGTAAGCTCTCTGCAGCTACTTCCGATGTGGCTAAGCATCTAGATGCCGCTACCGAGCACGAGGCAGCGTTAATCGCAGCGAAGGAGGCATTGGCCAAGGCCCAAGAGCAATCCACAACTCTGGAAGCAGAATTAGCTGAAATCAAGACTAAGAACATTGAACTGGTTAAGATCCAGGAAGAATACGAGTACTTGCACCAACAGCTTGCAGAGGCCAAGATGAACAATGTGGAACTCATGGCTGAGCTTGACGCTTTAAAGAACCAGAGGCCGGATACCTCTATTGCGGACGCGTTGAAGGCGGAGCTCCGGGAACTCAAAGAGTCTCACGCTCAAGAATTAGCTGCTGTCAAGGAGGTATCCACAAAATCCGCGAGTGATTTCGAACTTCTACAGAAAGATTACGACGCGACAAAGTCAGAGTTTGAATCTCTGAAGGGGCAGTTAGAGGCAGCCAAGCAGGACGCTCTCATTGCGCAGAAGGATCTAGAGGCGCATAAGAACGACGCCGAGGCCAAACTAAAGAACCAGGAAGCCGACTACAAGGATATGTACGAGAATCTGTCTACTATAGCGGAGGAAGAGCAGAAGAAGAGGGCGGCAGTTGAGAAGGAAGCATCCGATATCAAGTCGAGATTTGCAGAGATGGAAGCTCAGCTGAAGGTCAAGGACGCGGAAATTGCCGAGGCACTGGTATGACGCCCGATTAATCTCTATTAGTAGTAATCTATAATACATTATGCTGACCTGAATACCAGGCTAAGGCGGCGGCGCAAACGCCAGTGAAGAAGGGTCTGTCAGCTAGTAGATTCGCAGACGACAATGAAGCTGACAAGAAAGAAGATTACGAAGGTGCTACCGACTCGGAGGCTCCCGCAGCTGCAGGTGAGGAGCCTGACCATTCATCGGCTGCGATGAGTGCGGTGCGCAGTACCCCCTATACAAACCCTCGCTTGCCAGTCGCAGCATCTCCGCTTGCGTCTACATTCACTTACCCAAGTTTTTTTCAAGCCATCATGAGGAAAAGTGGCTGACTCATGTGTAATAACAGTTAGCACAAGTTAATCTATCCATCAAGGGCCTGAAGTCCATGAGTGACGAAATGGGGGACCGGAATCTGCGGTACGTAGATCTAATATCTAATCTCGTCTCTTAAATTATACGTGTGTGAAGGTGTCGATTCGATCAGCAGGCTAACAGGATACAGCATGCTCAAGTCCATGACCAATATTCCCCAGAAATCATAAGCTGGAACTGAACGATAGTCGGCTATGACCAAAAATTCCTTCTCGACATTATAGCGGTTTTTTTTTTTCATCCCACGCTATTGATGACGTTCCCGGCATGACTCGCCCCCTGATGACTTTATTTCGGCCACGATCTTTCAACGTCAACACGTTGGATACGCTATCCAACCAAACTTCTCGCCCACCGCTACCTTTGCGCCCGGGCCTAATCCTAACTGACGCACGCCGTTTATCGCGTTTATCGTGAATTTGCACTTATTATTCGGAAACCGACACGCTTTGTAATGAAATATTTTCTTGGAGGGGAAAGGGTCCTGATACAGATGCCTTAGGGGGAAGGGAAGGGCGCGACCTTTTTTTATCCATCTTTTTTTTATTTTATCTTTTAATCTTCACCGTGAGTCGTCGCGCCCGGGATGGAAGGACATGGCATGGCATGGATTGATGTGTATGAGAAGAATAGGAAAGTTGTGCGGAACAGCCAAGCTGCGTGCTAAGGTAATGCTGAAGGAAATATTTTCTCCGCCTGTTTTGATTGATTAACGTTACTTCGCTTTGCTCTCTCTAAGGACTACGTTATGTGGATATTGTAGTAGTCAGGTTGTCTAGTAGTTGAAATGGACGATACCCCCTTTTTACCTGCTGATGACTTTCGTCCGTCTGTTGAGTTTCGTACCTCTTATTCCCACTATCAGCTACAGTAGGGAGGGAGTCTTAGTTGCTCTGATATTTTTTTTTTCATATTATGCTAATTCACATTAATCGTCAGGAGCAGCCCGAGTATCTCCAGTTCTCCACACTAGATGAAATTTACCGAAGCATATTAAAACAACAAGAAGCAAGTCTATTACGCTCATTGGCGGACCTAAACATGAGAAGTATATACAAAGCGTTCATTATTTCCGTCTCGGCTCGAGCCATTACCCAATATAGTTTAAGACTGGGCAAGTTTCTCATTCAGGGGCTTCACCAGATCCCGCACCTGGAACATAGCATCGAAGTTCTGCTGCTTGACGAACCACGCATTCACTAGCTTCCACTCCTGATTGGGGTCCTTGAATTGGATCTGTAGGTGGGTGTTAGTATTGGATACGATTGCTAATCAGACTAGAGGATATTGGGGGGTGGAGAGCACGGGGGCTTACATCGAACCGCCTAAGCAAGCTTGGGACGACCTTATAGATCTCTAACAAGCTAATGTTCTTTCCAATACACGTGCGGGCGCCCATGCCGAATTGGAACATCATCCCATTCATCTCACGAACCCGACGCTCCTGTTCCTCCTTCTTGGCGTCTGTGAGTGTCTCGTCGACCAGCCACCGCTCAGGTCTGAAGGTGTCAACATCCTCGCCCCAGATCTCCGGTCGGCGATGTATGATCCACGCCGAGCAGCCAACAATGGTCCCGCCCTTGACGTAGTGACCTGCAATCTCGACGCCAGGCTCAGGAACGATGCGCTCGAGCGGCAAGCCAGCCGCCGGGTGTAACCGGAATGCCTCCTTAATGCAGGCGTCAAGATACGGCAACTTTTGACTCTCAGTCCATGTTACAAGACCCGTTTCGTAATCGCTAAAGATACCAGACAAAGCAGCGTCGTCAAGTTCTTTTCGCAAATTCGAGAGCGCAGACGGGTTGCGTAGCAGATAATAAAAGACACTAGCTAGTGAGATGGCGGTCGTTTCGGAGCCGGCGAATGCCATAGACACGGCCATAGTTTGCACTAGAGTATCGCTCATGAACTCCGGTCGGGCATCATGCGAAGCAAGAAACTTGGATAGCAGATCGGGCGATTTGGGTTCGGCTTTGCCTTCGGTGGAGACCGGAAGAAGAGGCTTGGAAGGATCGCCTGAAAGGTTAGGTCCCAGACGCTCAGCCATGCGAGCACGCGCGAACCGCGCAACAGGGAAAGTCGCATCAATGAGCCCCCATTGGGAGAGTTTGAGGTAGATGGGGTTTTTGAGGAAGACGCGATCGAGCCACGGAATCTGGCCGATCTGATTAAGTGTGTTAGTACCCTTTCATAGCGTATCACGTCAAGTTCTAACATACCGGCGCAACATAGAGAAACAGACTCCCTAAGTAGTCAACTATGCCATCGATATCCTCGTTCTTCTCGACAAATCCATGACGCTTGCTATAAGTAATCTCACCAATTACGTCGAAAGCGTAGAATTGTAGCCATCGTGTGAAGTCGCACCCTTCCGGGTTGCCAGCAAAAAGGTGCTCCGTTTGCTTGAGGAACAACTTAGTCGTATTGTCAACAAAAGGTTCGTACTGCACTAAAGCAGACATAGCAAAGGCCGAATTGACACATCGTCTGAATTGGGCGTGGAAGTTGTTGTCCGTCGTACTAAATAGTGAGGCAAGAGAGTTTCCCTTGACTACAGACTGCTGGACAACATAGAAGTCGGACTAATGGAAAGTATTAAAATTTGATACCTCTCACCGGAAGTTGTATAAGGGGTCCGTACCTTAACAAATCCCTTATTAAGACCATATATTGTCTTGAGGGCCTTCGGGTCTGCAAATGATAAAGAGTTGGGTCCCAAACGTACTACATCGCCATATTTCGCATGCAACTTTCGATGTGTTATGTCAGGTCGCTGTCCATACACATCCCAAAATCGCCACAAGTCTGTCAACGAAGCTAGAAATGGTCCCGGGTACTTGTTCAAGCCATTATGGTATCGATTCCTAACCAACCATGTCAGAGCTGCTGAAACGATTAGGGGTAGCCAAAAGTGAGCTATGAAGCTCCCAATCACAGAGTTCTCCAGTCCCAGCATTGCCCCACGGATTCATCTGCTCTTGTGAGATAAGCTGAAGTTAGAACGAGGCGGATAATAGCAGACTTCCGCTCCCTAAAAACGGTAGGAAATCTGTGAGAGCCTATAGGTTGTTGAAACCTTTAGATACTTCTAGCTATCGATGTAAAGAATTTCTGACCTGGAAATACAGCCAAAACAAGAAACCCTGGGTGCACCTATACCCTTGGAAATACAAGAAGTAGAACCGCCGAAGCCGAATATCAGGGACTGCTGACAACGTGTGCCAAGGTGGGTATATATGCGGTCCTATTTGTCGGTTATCCCACGGGCATGTCGGCGTTATCCAACGATGATTCGACCAAGGATAAAGACTCCCAGTACCTGCGGCCAGTCTGTTCGATTAAAATGGCGGGAGAGGGCTTAAGAGTGGAAGGTACACTCGTACTTAATATTTAGATATATGATATATGAACCGTTACGCTCGTGACGGCACTTCAGGGCTTTGCGGTGGCCCGAACCAGCTACCCGGCGCCTCTCGGTCCCTGTGAGATCGTCTCCATACCCGCTCGAGGTTCCGCTCAGAACTAGCCAGGCTACTAGAGATCTAAGACTCTGGGGACCCCGCCGACCCACCTTCGAGGAAAGGGGGCCCTGTCGACGAGGCCATCAGACGAGGTGAGCGGGGGAAACAAGCGGCTGGCCTAGTGTTGAATTAGGGAAATCGACAAGAAAACCCATGACCGCCAAGTGGGTAGACACGTGAATAGCTTTAATCTGCGCTTGGGGCAGTATTAGACGTGATTTCGGCAGATGGATAGTCCAATGGTTTCGCAGGTATAGTCAAACAAGAGCACGATAGCACGAGCCGGAGAATATGTCATGTTTCGGGTCATATCCGCGATGATCAACTGATGTAGCTTGGGTTGCCCAGGGCGCTGTTGGTGACACGGTAACCGTCTCGGGAAGTTTCTTGGAAACCCGAGGCGTATATATTACCCTCTCAATGCTGTCCTAGGGAGCTTAAGTCCGCTTTCCGCCATCCGCTTGGGCGAATAGAGTAACTCTCGTTGAAAATGGCGCCGAAAGGGGCAACTAAGCGCGCAGGGGGTAGGGGGCAGGCAATGCGGCTCTCATCCATGACGAACCAGAGATGGCAATTAGCTCAAGAGGCGACGAAGGTAGCGTCTGTAAGCCTCGGCACATCCATAAATGGAAGGCGGCCTATCGAGATGATAGCAACATAGCAGCATAGCAGCATATCGGCATTGCAGACGGGTATGATACCGCGATGATGTATGATGCAGTTTGGTTCTCGTAAAATTGAGATGGGATTTCTAATTGTAGGCCAGGTGCCAGGTGCCAGGTGTGTGTATATCTGTAGACGTTAGGTATTGCTGCATGGTCGTGTGTAGCATACATCCTACATCCCACATCCCACATCCTACATCATACATCATACATCATACATCATACATCATACACCATACATCATACCTACCTAGGTACAAGACATGCTACCGTGATACACAAGGCACAGCTGCAAGCCGAGCAGAATCTAGATTCTAGACCACACAATAAATCTAGCGTCCGAGACCAGGCGTGTGGGATTCCCGCTGTTGTCTAGTAATGGCAAATGATAAATGGCGATGGTGTTGTTGACCGGCGTAACAAATGGGTCATTAAAACTGCCGAGTTGTAATGACGAAGAGAATCTCGTAGTAAGTTTCAGCCATTAACCAAATCGAGCCATCTACAGATTCGGTGAAGTGGGGACGATATAATAACGGTAATAGCAACGCGGCAGATGTAGAGACCCATAACTTCCATAATTTCTATACCTAACTGTCTAGGTTAGGTCCTTCCTAACCTAACTCCTTCCCATTTCCACTGCGGTTTTGCCGCGCAAATAATATAGTCGGACCACGTGCAACCTGTATGTCGCAAATTAATAAGTTCATTGTGAACATTACCTTAGGTTAGGTACCTAAGGTAATGACCTGCTGTTCCCTTACGTAAGGCCACATGGACCCGGATCCGATCCGACCCCGCTTAGGTAATACATTTATAAAAGCATACCTACCTATGCATATGCATATATTCCTTTCGTCCCCATTATAGCCTGATATCAACCCTTTCACCGGCTTAGACCTTTTGCTTTTCGAACACAACTGCAACCTTAAAGTTGTGTTACCAACCGGATGCAGCTCATCAAAATTCCGTATTTTTCCAGACCACATACAAGGCTTATTAATCACGCTCGAGAGCTGCCGGCGGTGTGTTGCGCGGTTTTTCAGTTATTAATAATAAGCGCCTCCGCTTTGGAAAGTCGTGGGTTAGGTATTTTCACGATAAGGGGGGATTTGCCGTTGGTGCTCGCGGCCGGCTATCAATTCATAGGTAGGCTCGTCCAAGCCTAAGTTATCTCGGTCAGAGCACTTGCTCTCTTCCTACTTGCTAGGTTTCAGTGTAGTAAGTTCGGTAGTTGACCGTATATTCGTGGGTTGTATATACCTATATAATGAGGCAGAAGTGGTGTCCCGCTAAGCGTCTATTGCGCCTATAGCGCTCTCTAAAATCCGCTCAACTCCCATTGCCGGCGGCACTGTACGCGTCTAGCCTCCGGACTCGCGAGAGCATCTGCAGTGCCCTATCAATATAAAATAACCCCCAATACAGGCATCTAAGATTTTTTTAAGTATGCTGCATGTACTAGAGCTCTAGAACAACCTTAGGGTGGATTGTGAACAACGTTGAGGAGTTAGTTGGTAATCTCAGCTACCTCAGACTACTAAAAATACCCACGGCAACGAAGTTCTGCCGGTTTTATTTCAATAACATATGAATTAAATCAATCTACTATAGTTTGATTAAGAACAAGCAAGGCTGGTTGCTCCTTTCTTCGCCTAGTGCTCGGTATTATTCATCAGGAGGTAGGAAGTCTCAGCTCCTCTTCCCCTTGTACGAAAATCCAATAGTTTGATCCAGCCCCTACCCCTTGAGCTTCTCCCTTGCCGAGGTATTTTAGCATCCCGTCGAACTTTCACAACTGGAGACTTTGGGAACTAAATACATATGAGAATAACTATGCGAAATAATTATCCGGGACTAATGAGGGAGTATCACCTGTAAAATCTCCTATTTCGCTTCCCGCAAGTGGTGTCTAGCAGCCATCCTCACCAACTACAAGGTGGGCAATCTTATCCTCTCAACTACTCCAGTTTACAAGTCCCCTAGCAAGCCGTCATCGTTGGCAGTATCAAAACTGGCATGCTATCTACCTTCAGCATAAACAAGCACGTCCCACTCACATCATTACAGGGTCCCTCTTCCAAATTATTACCGACTTCGAAGTGTCCCGTACCAAAATATACTTTGTATAGAACCTCTCCTCATCGAGTAGCATTGTAGTCCAGCGTGAAAACGAGCTCAAAGTTCTGAGGGTCAATATTATTTATTCCAGGCGGCAAATCTACAGACCATACCCCGTATGAGTACTGCGTCGTATTAATGCAGGTGTCGCTCACAGCTGTGTCCCCGTCCGTTTTCTGGACGGTGGGTGTAGTTCGCAGCGCCTGGGGCGAACGGCAAGTATCCACCGCCCGCCACGTGCGGTGCTGTGCCAGCTGAGGCCTTGTTGGGATTTTGAGATCGCCAGGTCAATGCCAAGGGGTCCCGAGCGGCCCGGCTCCGGAGCCGTGATATACAGCCGGGTTACCTTCCAGGGGTCGAGTAAGTAGTCCGATGAATAGAGTGGTGTTATATGAGAGTGTGACTCTGGTTTGGTAGAGGAGGACAACCGTCAAGATCCCGAGACTCTCGGGAAGCTGCATTCTTCCGGTCGATGCGAATTTCCCATTTTTATTACCTCGTGTTACTTTACACCAAGAGTCAATTTCGATGTAAATTTGGGGATATGTCAATTGCCGCAGGTTTCCGTAATACAGCATTCAAGTGTACGACGCAAACAATTTTACGTCAAGAACATCTTATTATAAACACCTGAACGACATCGTACTACCGAGTAACGTTGAGTAGAACGACGTAACACCCGATAAAAATAGAAGTTAAAGTTCTTGTTGCTTTCCCGATTCCTCGGATGTGAATACGAAGCTTGTTACCTAATGCAAGGGCCCGGGAGCCGCCCCGTCTACAAACGGACAAGTCGGGACCGGCCCCGGCTAAATGCATGCAGCGCGTATTCTGCAGCGTCAACGCATGCTCCGGGAGAAGTTTTGCTAACTACCGTAACTAGGTAGTTTTATTAGGCGAGCTGTATCGATGCGGACATGTTGAAAGTTAGCTCTCATATTTGTCTTTAGATAATAGTCTTTTAAATCCCACATATCCCAGATGTCCATCCTCGTGTGCGACTATAAATCCAATGACTGTAAAATTTACCCCCTTTTTAGCTATTAGAAAATCCACAGCTGAAAATAAGGCTACAAGTCGACGCTAGACTTTGCACTAAAAATAAAAATAAAAATGATGGTTTAACCCTAGTCCTCGCCACTACATGCACTTACTTCTTAGAGTATCAAAGCCCGGGTCCAAGCAAAAGCAATAGACACGAACGAACATGACAAAAATGTATCATCCCTCGGACCGGAATCGAACCGGTGACTTTTCGGTAACAATCACGTTTACAATTACAGCCGAACGCCATAACCAACTAGACTACCAAGGGTTGTTCATAAGAGATATATTCGTTAGTTTTCCTTAAGACCAGCTGGAAAAGCTGATAGTTGAGCAAAGAACGTGCCGCCCTGCGGTCAGATGCCAACAGGAGACGGATGCGAGCAGGCCAAAGATCAAACACGTCGAGGATTCAAGTGGATCAAGCAGTGCCGTTCAGCACACTGTCGAGAAGCTCGACGTCCTTGAGTAGTTGCTTGTCCCCTAATCTCGGACCAACAATTTGCAATGCCACAGGCGCGCCCTTGAAAAGCTCCGGGTCATCTGCGATATGTCAGCTATTAACTACCTAACCATAATATAAAATAGTAGATAAATGGTTTGCTTACACATGTCCTGATTCTTCTGGTCGGTCTCGTGCTTAGCCTTGAATTCGGCGTCCACGGGGTCGAGAGCCGGATCGGCATGCGTGAAGGGGATGATGATAGCAGGATACTAGAATGGAAATAGCCACGTCAGCGACCTATGTCGATAACACATTACTTCGTAAAGAAAGCCTCACATCAACCACATTCCAAGCCACGGTGTAAATATCGCTCGTCCAATCCCCCGGCAACACCGCCGTATGCGGACCAGCAGGAGCCAGAACGACATCACAGCCCACCCTTTGCCACTCGTCTAGCATCTGCTTCTGAATCCCCAATTTCTTGGTATTCCACTGCCAAGCCTCCTCCTGGGTCTTCCGCGGGAGATCCAAGAACCCGATCTTCTTGACGCTGGGCACGATCGGCTCGCCCGACTTGGCGAACTCTTGTCTTGGGAACGAGAGCCCGTCTAGCGTGAATAACTGCTCTGATACATCGCGGATGCCGATGAAGTCCGGCGGGTCAAAGTCCCTGGTCTCGAACCCGGCTGCCGAGAGCTTAGCTGCGGCTTCTCGTAAGGCCCGGCGGACCGGTGGGTGAGGCGTAAGGCCAGATGCGTGGATAACGCCGACGATGGGTTTCCGCGTCGCTGTGGTGCCGAGTTCCATGATATTCGGAATCACGGCAGGGTCGAAACTCCAAGGCTTCGCGTCCCTGACAATGCGAGTGAACAGGTCAAGGTCACGCACGGAATGGCCCAAAGGACCGGTCACAGCTGGAATTCCCGTGTTGGAGCCTGTCCAGCCGGAGTAGGAATACCCGGTCATGGGGATGATCCCAAAGCTTGGTTTATACCCGTAAACGCCGTTGCAAGCAGCTGGTATTCGTACCGATCCGCCCACATCGGTTCCGACGCCGAGAGCACTGCAGCGAAAGGCCTGGCTTGCACCCTCGCCACCGCTACTTCCGCCACATGTCAAACGGGAGTTCACAGGGTTCTTAGTGCGCCCAAATACATTATTATGGCTCTCCGCAACCAGCATCGTCTGTGGTACATTTGTCTTCGAAATGATTACCGCCCCGGCAGCTTGCAAGAGTTCCGGCAAAGGCGACGTGCGGTCGGCCGGCTGGAAGACTCGGGACATGTACCCATTCGTCGAGTCGTACCCCTTGAAATGGAAGCACTCCTTGAATGTCATAGGAACCCCATGCAGGGGCCCGACCACCTTCCCCGTGCTTTTGAAGATGCTGTCTAGTTCTTTAGCTCGCTCTATTGCATCCGCGAACATGATTTCCGTCAGCATGTTGCAGAGCTGATGGCCTATCGCGGCGCGTTTACAGAATGCCGTCACGACCTCTACGGCTGTGAATTTGCCTGTGGCAATGGCGGTCGCCAAAGATGTTGCATCGTATTCCTCACTAGTAATTACCAGCTCGGCCGGAGATAATATATTGAATGTGCTAACAAAGGGGCGGAGGTCAACGGTGTCTTCCGGCGGAATGTCTGCCGGTTTCAATTTCCATTCCGCCGGTATTCTCGAGTCCTGCTCGGCCTTTTTTGCAGCCTGCAATTCCTGCCAGGACTTCTTAGTTATTGGTCCTTCGACACTGCTCATATTCAAACGTTTGTTTATTTATAATAACTAGACATTACATAGAAAGTATCCAAACGGAGAAATGCTCATAAGTTCGACCCCTCACAAGAGTGTCCCATGCAGCCCCCGAGACGCCATGCTGCAGTATAACACCGAAGAGTGGGGGGAGGAATTAAGGGAATATACTAACCTAGATATACTTCATTAGATCCGAATAATTGGGGACCATTCCAGTAACTCCTCATATATAACTTGCTTTATTCCCACCCCATCGTTACATTTTGACGCAAGATAATCATATCTCTTAGCATCGGGGATTGATTGCCAGTCTGGTAATCAATATTGCTCGGCTATCTCCTCCATCTAGGTATAGAATGACAACCCAGGAAAGAATATGTAGCGGAGCTAAGCGCGCTATGCCGTATTATATATAATAACATGCAATCGTTACTCATTTCGATAGTGTAAGAGCTTAATGTGAACAGTTTCAAGCGGATTTGTTATATGCGGAGTGGCGATGTCACGCCTGGGCATCACCCTTGCACCCCCGACGAATGTAGAGCAAGGATCTTATCAGCATACCAGATACCAGGTGTTATTCGGTGTAAAAAACATCACAACTATCTTAGCTAGGTAGAACTAGGATTAGAGCGGAGTAATACTTAACATGTCCTTTGGCATTCCTAGATCCTAATGGTTTTCTGTTACTTCTAAGAACGCATACTCAGACATCTAACCTAGGTCAATACACTACAACAATGTCGGAGAAAATAGGCATCCCCAGTGCCGAGAGCGTGGCCTCTGATACAGAACACGGCGCTGGCCTCGTATTGCCGAAAAAGAACATATTGGGGGGCTTCATACAACGGCGAAATGATCTAAACCAGCTAGGAAAAGACATGTTGCAGCAGTCGTTGCAATACGACCGAGCGCAACTTGAAGCAGACGCCAAAAAGGTCCGATGGAAGTTGGACCTTATGGTGCTTCCCATGGTATGATGATGATGGCATCGACGTTTCCTGTAATATTTGCTTCTAACATAAGGTCTGAGTAAAGATGATGATCACATACATGTTGTCATTTCTCGACAAGCAGACGTAGGGTTAGCACCGGCTTATTCTTATTGGGTTTTCATACTGACGAGGCAATCACAGCCTTAACTACTCGAACGCATATGGCTTACAAGAAGACACGAAGATGACTGGGAACGATTACTCCTGGGTCGCATCAGCTCTCTACTTCGGTTGGCTCTGTACGTGGCAATCCTTGAATCCTTGAATTTTAACGTATTAGATGGAAAAGCTAATACCCACCGTCAAGGCGGAGCGTGGCCGTGGAACCTACTGCTACAACGCGTCGCTATCGGAAAACTGGTCGGTGGCATGTTATTCGTTTGGGGGGCCGTCTGCATGCTCCAAGCCGCGGTCTTTAATTTCAGTGGCTTCTTTGCTGTCCGGTTCTTCCTAGGCATGCTTGAGGCCTGTATCTCGCCTGCGTGGGTGCTCCTAACTTCGATGTTATGGACTCGTCAAGAGCAATCCTTGAGAAGTTCCATTTGGCTGTGTACGAATGGCCTGGCAAACATCCTCGGGGCTCTCCTAGCTTATGCCTCGGGCGTTGCCGAGGGACTCGCGATAGCACAATGGAAGTTGATATTCCTGGTGAGGACCCCTTTTATCTTCGTTACGGCAAGGGTTAACGTGTATTGTATTTAGATAGTCGGCGCTGTCACGTTTATATGGGGATTTGTCATCTTTCTCTACCTCCCCGATGGACCACACAATGCGAAGATGCTGACAGAATATGAACGTGCCGTTGCTGTTTGGCGTGTCTCCAACAACCAGATCGGCCTCAAGGACGCGACTTTTCGGTCATACCAAGTCAAGGAGGCCCTGCTGGACGGAAAATGCTACTTGCTGTGGCTGACTGGAATGGGACTCGGAATCCTCAACGGTGCTATAACCACCTTCATGTCCGCTATAATCAAGGGGTTCAACTTCGACGCGCTCAGAACATCTCTGTTACAGACGCCGGGAGGCGCGGTCCAAGTCGTTGCCTGCATCTTACTAGGGTTATTCTCGCAACTCCCTAATATGGTGGGCGCAGCTATCATCCTTGGATGCTTACCTGGCATAGCTGGACTGGTAGGTATCCTGACCATTAATATCGAGCACCGTTATGCGCTTGTCGCTATGTGCTGGCTGGAATTCGTCATTGGATCGCCCGTTGTTTTGAGCTGGACAATTCCCGGTATCAATGTAGCTGGGCATACTAAGAGGAGTACAGTGATGGGGATTTATTTCGTCTGTTTCGTCGTTGGAAAGTAAGTTCGAGACCAGAAACGGCGAAAAAATAGCAGCTAACATTAAGAAATGTAGTATTATCGGCCCTCACTTGTTCCTGTCGTGGGAGGTGCCTAGGTACCCAACCGCAATTAAAGGCCTTCTTGGCACTTATTGTGCTGTTGTTCTCCTCCAGGGACTATACACATTGTGGTGTTGGCTTGACAATAAGGAACGAGACCGACTGGCTCTCCACAACGAGGTAACAGAAGCAGAATTGCTGGAGGGTTTCGAGGATTTAACTGATAAGGAGAACAAACACTTCCGGTATAAGCTTTAAAGGCACTATGGATGTTACGGTTACCTATAAGTTGATAAAGAGTAAATACCTATGTTCTCGAGCATTTTTATATAATAGGGGAGCTGTCAATCAACATAGACTACTACCTACCTTGGGTATATAACAGTTAGTTAACTGGTACGAACCTAAGCTCGTCATTACGCGGCGGGGATCATCTTCTATCGGCCGTCGTTGATTGGTCAATTGGAAGGCGACAAGCTTGAACGCCGAGCTTGGACGATCACATCTCAACGGAGTGTCCGGTTTGTTCGTGTATTCAGTTCAGAGCAGCAAGTCTGCCTAAGCTACGCCGGATATCAGACCAAAGAGATTGGCCGCTGCTTTCTAGGTGTTTATATAACAGTTATAACACTATTGCGTCAGTACCCAATACAGGGAAATTGTTCGTCTAACTAAGCCAACGAGACCCTCTACCGATAGTTATTATCTCCGAGGCATCTCGTAGCTTCGGATATCTACACTTATGCTCAACGAGACGTCAATATAGCTCGGATTTGCATTATATAAGTCACATATTACTCCTTCTAGTCGAATACTTAGCTTAAATAGAGAACAACTCCTTTCCTTACCTCCCATATATCCCTTCTACCAACCAGCAACATGTCCTCACCCCCTCCACCCACCACGGCGCCAAAGCTCCGTAGAGCCCTGGGCCTTATTCTCGAAGAGACAGGCCTCCTATCCCTACACGCCTCGTCGCGAGACGTCAAACTACTCTGCCTGCAGCGCTTCACGCGCATGTTCGCATACGGGATATCAACCCTGATCCTAGTCGCATACCTCTCCGCCCTAGAGATCCCGAAGACAGATATCGGGCTATTCATGACGCTGACCCTAGCCGGTGACGTGTGCCTCAGCTTCGTTTTGACGTTATTTGCCGACGCGCTAGGGAGACGAGCAGTCCTTGCGCTCGGTGCGCTGCTGATGAGTGCCAGTGGCGTGGTATTCGCTTTATTCGGGTCGTACTGGGTGCTTCTCGTCGCGGCTGTCGTGGGGGTTATAAGTCCGAGGTAAGAGACTGGAGGATATACCCTTCTCCCTCTACTCTCTTTTATTCTCTATATAATACAGGCAGTCAGAATATTGAAATGCTGACCTATCTCCCAGCGGCAACGAAATCGGCCCCTTCCGCGCCATCGAGGAGAGCATCGTAGCGCAGTTAACTGACCCCCAAAAGAGAAGCGACATCTACGCCTGGTACAGTCTCCTAGGCCTCGTGGGTGCCGCATGCGGCTGCATGGCGTGTGGCTGGATCCTCCAGCACCTGACGGGAACTCTTGGGTGGGACTTTGTTCGCGCGTATCGCGCTATTTACTTCGGGTATGCTGCTCTCGGCTTATTAAAACTAACTCTGACTCTGCTCTTGGGTCACACCGTAGAGTCGGAGAAGAAACAGGCACAGAATCGTACTCGAGACGACGAGACGAGGCCGTTGCTGGAGAGCGGCGTAGAGGCTAGTACGTCTCATAAACGGGGACTGCGTGCGTTGTTCCCAGACATCAGTAGAGAGAGCGTCCCTGTAGTGGTCACGCTGTGTCTTCTCTTTGCTCTGGACTCCTTTGGCTCTGGGCTCGCTCCGTTGTAGGTAAACTAATCCGTTTCACCTCGTGGCTATCTGACTAAATGTTGCAAGATCTTGGATCACGTATTACTTCAAATCTCAATTCGACATCGAAGAGGGACAGTTAGGCTCGATATTCTTCGTCACCCAGACCATCGCAGGCGCTTCTATGATCGTTGCCTCTTCTCTGGCTAAGCGGTTTGGTAATGTCAATGTAAGTCCCCCTATTCCTTCAGTCTTGGTGTTCTGTATGAATATCCCTCCTAATGCTGACACTCTAAGACAATGATATTTACGCATCTCCCCTCGCAAATATTCCGCGCCCTCCTAGGCGTCCCTAGTGATATGCACCTGGCACTAGCTTTCCTCATTCTGAACGCAAGCACTCAGTCCATGGACACCGGGCCGCGCTCCGCCTTCCTCGCCACCATCGTGCTGCCCGCGGAGCGGACGGCGGTCATGGGGACCGTGAACGTCGTCAGAACTACGGCTCAGAGCCTCGGACCGCTGCTGACAGGCATACTGGTCGATCGGAATCTATTCTGGGTGTCGTTTGTCGCCTCGGGAGGGTTGAAAATACTATATGACTTGGGCTTGCTCGCGTTCTTCAAGAACAAGGAGAGGAAGCGAGAGAGAGCTGAGCGGTTGATAATTCAAGGGGATGAGGAAGGACAGCAAAACTAGGCTGACCATTAAGCTGGTTACCCGAGACCCTTGGAGCATGCCAATCTATAGCGGCAATGGAACGAGTACCTTGATGGACCGGTGACGTAGTACATCAAATAGGAGTCAGTCTTTGCCAACTTTTATATAGTTCACCCGCCGTGTCTAAGTCGTATGATATATGTATATTGAGTATTTAGGCGCATGTTGTCCCTACCAAGTACCTAATGATTTGGCTTTCCGACCATCAGATCGTTCTTTTCTTCACCCCCTCTTAGGTGACCTCCTCAACTCTCTCCTCAATTTTAATCAATCACACGCCACACACCATACTTAACAGCTCACGATAGTAACGATTATAAACCTGCTATCTATCTGCAACTTACCACAGCCAGACTTAAAAGTTCTCCTCTCCAGAGAACCGCTCGTTCTGCACGATCTCGACCCAGTATCCATCAGGATCAAGCAAGAAAGCAACATTCTTCATGCGTCCGTCCGTAAGCCGTTTCTTCCAGTTAACATTCAACGCCTCGAACCTCGAGCACGCCGCATCTAGACTATCGACCGAAACGCCTATCCTGCGTTAGCTCTTCCCAAAACCAACACGCATTATTCCCAGGGGATGAAAAAGTATGAAGAAACTAAGGGGAGTAGAACTCACAAATATGTCCAAAGCCCTGCGGCTCCGAGTTCCCATCGTGGTACTTGAAATTCTCATCCTTCTCGGTCCCGTAATTCCACGTCAACTCCAGCAAGCCCTCATAATCCGCCGTAAACCCGTCCTCCGGAACGCCCTTGGAGCCAGGATACCCGAGGAAGTATAAATTGAACTTGGCAGCGGACTGCTCGACCGTGCGGAACAGCTTCATGCCTAGCACGTCCTGGTAGAACTTGAGGGACTTCTCGGCATCCTTGACCCGGATCATCGTGTGGTTCTATACTCTTGCATTAGCTAGGGATGTCTAAACATTGCTCGGCGCTCGGTGCTCGTTGCTAGTCATTGGAAGGGGATAATATGGGAGGGAGAACAGCCCTACCATGCGATAAGTACCAACATCCGTCTCAACCCCTTGCTCCTCCGGATCCTCCGCACCCTTCGATCCCCTCCTGCGACTAATAATCTCCACCCAATAGCCATCCGGGTCCAGCGCAAACGCAATATGCTTCATCCTCCCATCCGTCAGCTTCTTCTGAAACCGATACCCCGCGTCCTCGAGCCTCTTGCACGCGGCCTGGATGTGGTCGACGGCAATGCACACGTGCCCGAAGCCGCGGTGGGGCTCCGCGTTGCCGCTGTTGACCGTGTAGTGTGGGTCGTCCTCGGTGCCGTAGTTGTGCGTCAGCTCGATCACGCCCTGCCGGTCGAACGTGCTGTTGCCGTGAGAGAGCGCCGTTGGGCCGTCGTAGCTTAGGAAGTACAGGTCGAATTTGGCGTTGGGGAATTGCAGGTGCTTGACTACGCTCATGCCTAGGAATTCGTAGAATTTGACTGTGGTGATAGGTATATGGTTAGCCTGTGCTGTGGCGGCGGAGGGCCTATGCGGTGCAGTAGGGCCATACTGGATGCTTTGGGGTCCTTCACTCGGATCCTGTAGTCAAGTTCCTGCGTTTAGTAGCTAGTCCTCTTGAAGGCGAGGTCGTTGGCTTACATCGAGTGATTGAACTTGTAGTTGTTCGTATCCGTAGTCGTCGCCATTGTCGCAAATGTGCGCCAAGCACTTGTAGTCTTAAAGAATTGGTCGGATATCTGAAATTGTTTAAATGGCAGACCATGAGATAGAAAACGTCTACTCGTGAGTTGTGTAGATGGTCGTAGTATATATGATCTCGTTGTTGTCCTGTATAAGCTGCGGAGACAAGACATGTAGTTGGAGTGTTCTATTATCGAGGATAGAAATTGGTGAAATCCAATAGCCGTGGTAGTTCTGCGGAGTCTTAGGTAGGTACCTATGTAATGTCTTATACGATAATCTATAGGTACATATTCATTGATACATATTTCACTATAGAAAATAGTATATCTCTTCAAGTACCGATAATGAATGACGTTTGTCATAGCTACCCCTCCAGCCCCACGTTGAATCTCAAGTGCCACAGACGCTAGCCAGGGGTTTACGGAGATAATGTACCTATTCATGTATTGTTAGGTACTTTTGAATAGCTTCATGATCCAATAACATGTACCCAGGTACTTAATGTGAACAATAGATATCTCGCATATAATTGATAGGGAATAACCGCCCATCTCCAAGACACAACAGACTCCTATTCTGTACTCTGTATTCTAGTTGCATGTGCCAAACTCCAGGTACACAGCTCGCGCCTTGCATTTTTCTCAGACCTAACTCCACTAATATACATATACAGAAAAACAAAGAAAAACCCCGCTTGAATAACTATAAGAACATGAACATGGGATCCGAAGGACGATCGTGGTGCGATACGCTATACGACCTGATAATACGGTACGCTAGGTATGCATATATGGGGTAAGTTGAACGTAAAACTGCGATCTGCGCCCTGCTAAAACGGGTTGCGAAAATAGGAGAACATCTATCATGTCGAGCTGACTAGACCACCAAGCTTACCGACGGCCCAGTCGGTGTTGAAGTACTGGCTGGGAGTAACAAAGAAAGCCAGGGCAATGATGACATAAAGGGCCATTAACTAAAACAACATTAGTACATCTAACTAATCCGATAGAAATCAGTAACATTACCATTGCGCCTTCGAGATAGTTAGATTTTCCATCCTGGACCGTGTAGATTACGACCAGCACAGCCAGCGCAAACGAGACCGTTTCAACTAGATTGCGTTAGTTCAAGAGACAGCAGTAAGAATTGTATTCAACTTACAGGTCTCAAAGTGCAAGTCCATATCTCTGTCCATAATCCAACCGAGAACAACAAGGAATGGTGTCACGAACAGAGCAATCTGAATGCTAGAACCAATAGCAACTCCCATAGCCTGCGTAACAAGTAAGCTTCATGCTACTCAAATTTTCTAGGGCGATACTTACCAGGTCCATCTTGTTCTTGACTGCCACCACGACGGCAGTAACATGTTCCGCCGCATTACCCACGATAGGAATTAGAATAAGACCAATGAAGCTGCGGCTGAGATGAGCACGCTCCACTAGAGCATCTATACTCTCGACCAGATAATCCGCACAGATAGCGACCAGGACAGTTGTGACGATTAGAACCGCACCGGCGGACCATGGGCTCATGTGCACCTCCTCTTCTGACTCTTCTTCATTCCCCTCAGCTACTGCCGCGGCCTCGGCGGGAAGCTGGATTCCGTTCTGTGTGGGCTCCGATACAACTACCGCTTCGGCACTGAATAACTTGTGGTGTGTTCTCAGCTGAAACCATAGGTACAGCACGTAAAGAAGCAGCAGGATGATAGCGGTGCCGCGAGAAAGCGACAGGACGATTTTATTGCGCTCATCTTTATCGTCTCCGCCGGTACCATTTATGATCATAAATAACTACATTCCTGATTAATCTCCAATCTGCACATACAAAATAAGATGAAATACTCACAGTGCCAGGAAGGATCATAGAGGCAGCAGACAGGGTCATGAGAGAAGCTGTCGTTTGGGCAGTGATTGTCTGGAAAGACTGCTCCTGACCATGACCCTCCTCATCTCTCATATTGACGATACCGCCGAAGAAGAAGCACATACCCATAACGAGGAGTAGATTGGATAGGATCGAGCCAATCATAGACGACTTGACAACCTCGATCTGTCTATCTCTTAATGCGATAATGCTAACCTGCAGGGAAGCTGTTAATAAAGGTCATCATGCAAGTAATGGCGGGTTGGGGGCCGTTTTTTACAATCAACTCCACAGCATTGCCAAAAGTGGCATTGAGCAGGCCACCCAGAGCCTCGCCCAGGTTTACTGATATTTCCTCCGTCGCGTATGAGAGCACGGCAGCTAAGGGAATAATGGCGAAAAAATTAATGACGAATACGGCAACTGGATCCCAACCGGATTGACCAGCAATAATACCAATTGGCACTGCGACGAGAAGGATGTTGATCGGACCTACAGAGTCGATTTAGCTACACACACATCCCTGTCTCCCCCGGATTTATTCGCTTAGTATACGTACTGCTCAATAAAGTAGCTTTGGTGATATGCCACGTATGGGCTGGATACTTGACCCATGGCTTCGGGTTCTCAGTGCCGGGCGTGTGCTGCGAATCGAAAAAGAATTCCCAAGCCCCACCACCGTGTCCGTTCTGATGAGCGGACCCATTCTGGACGGAGTGACCGTTACCTCTTAACAGAGATGTAGTTTCGTTCGGCTCTCCATTCTGGCGAGGGCGGGTGTGAGGGTGAGTGTGAGTCAAGCCTGTTACGGTCTTGCGGATTTGGGATTGGAAACTCGGTAAGTCTGAATCACGATCCATCGTCGCGTCATCGTTAGCCAGGAAATATAAATATCAAGATTCGCTCGGAAGATTAATGCCGCCACGTCGGCGAGCACCACATTACTCTATAAAGCAGCGCGCACAAAGGGATACGGATGTGTGAGGAAACACGGGAAGGGGGGGAAGGGGACCAAGGGGGACCAAGGTTAGGTATGTAAGATAAAGATGGGAATTGGGGATTGAGCGTCTAAATTGATTAGGCAGGGAAATGCAAAATGCAGCAAGTGTATTGGGAGATTAGGAAGATCTAGTGCAAATAAGTAAAGCCTACTACTTACACACCATTTGGAAAGACGCTGGGGTTTTCCCCGAAAAGTAACGCAGCCGAAATAAAAAAAGATGCCCAAGCGTGAAAGAATGTGGAATGTAGAATGTGCAGCAATTTGGGGCGCGAGGCAACGAGGCGCAGACTGAGTAAGGTAGGTAAAAAGCCCTTTGTTTTTACTCGCAGCTGGTAAAGGGGAAAAGAGACAAGTGTTTCTGGGCGTAGTGTAGTTGGAGCGTTATTTTAGTTGTGATGACAGATCCCAAAGTACCTAAACTTTGCTGTTCCTGGCTGACGGTTGTTTTTCTTGCAGTGTAAGTGGTTTCTTGGATTTCTTGGGTTTCTAGGTTATTGTTCTTGGTACAAAACAATTACATGGAAGAATGTCTGGGCATATCTTAAGCTTGTAAGTTGCCAAGAAAAACTCTGACAATTCTCATACGAATTAATTATCTCATAGCTCTCTCTCTTTTTTATTTTTCCTTTTGTTGACGTCGTTTTTCCCTAATTGTATGTACAATACCGAAGCTAAAGGCCCGTCTTTACTCCACCTCCCAAACAAGGTGAAGGGAATGTGTAGTGTGCACTGCATCAGACTTTACCTGCAGTTAAAACGTGGCGTGAGCTCTAAGGTCGCACTGGAATCCGATGAGACAGGGACAGGGGTTCTTACATGCACCAAGTATTTAGTATGCAAAATGTCGGGCAAAGGTACATTGGTATCCTATCCCCTTAACTGGCATAAAACTACACCTCCACTATTTTTAGTACAGTACTACGAGATAATCTAATTCTAAGGCTATCGACCAATGAAATCGAGCTACTTAATCTTACACCTAATTTAGCCTATGCCAGTTGTACCAGCATTCTTTCGAGTTACAAATAGCTACATTACAAGTCTGACATCGATATCTAGTCTGTTTTGGCCTGTAAATGAGGCTATTTAGGGCCCTTTCATCTAAATCAGTCAGTCCCCGACGAGGTCGTCCTCAAATAGTGTTGCCTTTACAGGCCTGACACGTTGACGGGGTTGTTTTTTTACCTTTTCGATGATATCGCTGTGGGATCCTTGTGTTACCCCCTTTTGACGTTGTTTTTGAGCCTCTTTGACGAGCCTCAATATCGAATCCGTACTCCTCTAGTCCTGTTTCTAATAATATATCTATCCAATCCCCTAATGATTGGGCAGGCTTCCAAGTAGGGGACCCCCTTTTCTGTAAATAGAACGTGTTGGTTAGGATCAACTGTGGCAAAAAGTTAAAATGCAAGGCTTCCGAGGCTAGACGACGAAATCGGTGATTATATTTATATGCAGCCCTCATTTGATCGTTGATATCGACCCCATTCATATGATGATTATATTCGTCTGTGATCAACGGGATATCAAGGACCTTCTTGTATTGGTAGCCAAACACGTCCCGTATCGCCTTCGAGGCGTTCTTGGGCATCGTACGCACCCTGGATATACGATCAGAGATTCGAAAGACCGTTGTTAGAAAGCTTACAGGGCCGTTGTCGTGCCACACGATCTGATTTACCTGATTATCAGGGGTTGGCCACTTACGAGCCTCGTTATATCCCAATTCTTTATGTGCCTGGATCGCTACAGCGGCGATCCCATAGTCCTTGCGGCACGTCCCGGTAGCCGCAACGCCTCGTATACGTAATTGTTTAAATAGTTGTGGGCTTGAAAAGAGGTTATCGACAAAAACGTGTAAGGGGAGGTAGCCCACGGTCTCGAATAGACTGTCGATAAAAGCGGTGACTACACGTTGTGTGGTATTAAGGGCATCGTCACCGGTTGCATCGGCTAATTTCATCGTGGTTGGCCGCCTTGGTACGCCAACAGGGCCATATCTCCGGGTCTGACCTGGGATATGCCAGAAAAATAGCAATATATAACCTGATTCAGCAAAAGCCCAGGCCTTAAATCCCGTGGGATCGGGCTTCGTGGGGATCGTGGTGATCTCGCTAGCCTTCCCGTAAAAGCGTACGATTAATTCGTCAATCGCAACGTGGGATCTAGGGGTCTACAGGTCCAATGAGGTCTTTTGAATCTAATTAGCCTACTCGTCGACTCGTTCAAAAGGCCTCATTTTTCCCAGGGCTGGATCAGCCGTACGAAATCGTCGTTTTAGGGCTTGAAATCGACGTAAGGTAATATATCTCGTAAAAGGATAATATGGGGCCTCATGCATCTTGCCACGCCAATACGTTTCGATTTGCTTTTCGGGATGACGTGACATATAAATAATAATAAATAGAAAGAAATAAACCTTATCAATAGTAGTAGCGTGCTAGTCGTGTGACCGTGTATGAGGCTTATCCTAGACATCGTCGTCGGGCTCCCATTTATTCGTGTATGTGACCCACTTTTCAACAAGGAATTCAGGGACAAATAACTTAAATAAGTCGTTGGGGCCATCAGGAAGCCGGGCTATTTGAGGCTGACGATCAGGGATCTTAAGAGGCTTAAAATGCGTGCCTATATTGGGATTTGCACGGGCTTTTGGTCGTCTAGTTGCAGGGTCCGTTTCATCACCTTGTGTAATAGCCGGGTCAAGCTGGGCAGCGATATAATCGATATTAGGGGGTTGCGAGGCCATTTGGCTATCTAGGGATATAAAAAACAACGATAATACGTTGAAAATGGGCTAGAAACGAGGTTGTCGATATATAACGATTTGAGGCTATTTCGAAAAAGTGGTGTTTTTATTAAAAAGGATAAGATCTTGAGGAATTAGCTTCGTATCCTTTCGTATTGTCGATCATGAGGGGCCTCCGACCAATCAGAGGCCTTGGATTTAAATAAAAGTGGATCTATTACGTGTGTGTGGCGAGCTGACTTTGTACAATACCGATTACAGGGGGGGTTGTAGTCTTATGCCAGTTAAGGGGATAATACGACGGAATATATCAATTGAATGCAAGTTTAGCAAGGAGCTAGGGCCAACCGAGCTTCTCATAGCTCCGATTCTCGAACGAATCGATCTCACCATGGCAAGCTTAACTTAAACCCAAATTTTTGAATACAAATGCAAATACAAATACAAATACAAATATAAATAATAAATAATAAATAAGACGATTTATCATTTCCAGATCATCCGAAAAAAGTGGGGATAGCATGCGCCCATATCAATAATAATAATAATAATAAATATCCGTGCCAATGGCTTGCGCAAAGTATCACTTTGGCGGGAATTGAAACTTGCAGAAACGTGCCTCTTACGTGCTATGGTATCAGGCAAAAGTAAAACGACACTGTCAGGTACCGCCAAAAACGGTTAGATAAGCTACCATATTAAATTAGTACTAATCTGTTACTATATATACACTATAAGTATATCTTAAATTATAACTAATAAATAAAAAAGCAATAATATAAGCCACTTTTTAACGCGCGACTTGTAACCGGGGTTTTACTTACCCATCATACCATAGTAAGTAGAAGGAGGAGAATGTAGATTGCCAAGTGTGGCTGTGTACATATATAAGACCAGAGGCCTCCAAGGATACCTAGGTACTTACCTAACCTACCAAAATCTAGATAGGTAAGCCTTTCCCATTGAAGTCCATAACTCCATAGGTAACATGTACATATACTACATGAAATCACTCTGCCGTAGCCAATGGCAAACCCTGAAATAATCGACAGGTCGCCCTGCACAAGTTAACATGATTACATACCCGGACCGTACGGATGCCAAGATCTGATCATTATTTGTCGGATGCCACGCAAGGGGCTTACAACAAGGCAAAAGGCAATGTACGGTATACATGTTCTGAATGATACGTAACCATCGCGGCTACGCATTCCCAAATTACCGAAAAAGAAGTAAGCACATATGAAAGGATAGCCAGGTGGACAGCACGTTGCTAGAAGAAATTAGAGTTGAAGACTCTCAAGGTCAACCCTATAAGCATCAGGAAACTCTAGCTGCAAGAGATGGGGTTTAGAGGCACATTAATAGGGGTAGCATGATGTTAAGTCATACACCGCCAGTAAGGTACGGATAGGTAGTCGATACGCAAAACCCAATATAAGTATATTATCGTCCCCCCCATTCTCCAAATTTCGCCTTCTAATCATAATCATCATTCATGTCGATAAATAACTAAGTGGGCCACCAACGCCTTTAATATATCCAGGTAAACCCCTATCCCCTCTACTCGTTAGCAAATGTCCCAATGCTGTCGTAAAAGCAATCGACCCCAGCCGGACTATCACATAAATGCTAGAATATCGTCAGCCTATTGAAGCCCAAGGAGAACAATTAGGGTGGACTCACCTGCGCAGTACGCCAGATACCACGTCAACGAAGCGCCCCCGTCCAGCCACCCAGGATCAAAGTCCTTCCGTGTAAAGAAATCCCACGCTGCCTTGGGGTCGACTGTGGCCAGATTGGCGAAGAGAATCCCCTTCCAGCCTCCTTCGACATTTTCGGCACGGCCCTTGTCGAAATATGTCGCCCACTCTTCCCTCACGAAATTGGCGGGTCGAGTGAGCTTCGTGCTGGGTAGAAGCGGAATCATATGGATACCTTGGATGTACTCGATGTTGGACCCGAAGTACGTATTATGATCGCATTTATTCTCAAACAAAATTCCGGCAACCTTATTTCCCACATACTGGGAGGGCTGGACTTGGTTGTCTTCAGTATAGAGATAGTACTGGTTTATGGAGCGAGCGATGATTGACAATATTAGATTA